AGACTTGATTATGGAGACGGGGGTGCGACGGACCAGCACCGACGGGCCTCGTTTTACGGGCGCCATTCTTGCGATTGTCTCGGGGGTTGTTGGAATTGAATGATTAGAGAAAACGGTGTCTCTATCGCACAAATTGTGCAGATATCATCGAACAGAGGTTGCGATCAAAGATGTCTAGAGGTCAAAGACACCAAGTCTCATTGGGTGGTTGTCCGCGTGGTGTCGACATGACGGAAGCAGCTCAGGAAACTTCAGAGCGCTTGCACCGCCACAGTTCCACATGTGGCTGACCACATGTAGATACGTCATACCTTTTTCAATCAACACCAAGGACTCATTCTCACGATGGTCCTACTTCCGAGTATTCTGCAAGAAAAAGGAAATGGAGACAAAATAAGTATGATAGAAATTTTCAAAATCACGGGCGAGCCTCAGGTGTAACGATGTAAGGATTTTGCACGAGACCCGAACTCGCGCCCTATGAGTGCGGGACAATTCAAACGGGGACATTTCCCGCTACGTCACAGGCCTGATGATAGAATCACATCTCGTTGTCTATTATAAAGGTGTCGAGGGCGGGTGATTCGCGTGAACCTGGACGTGTTGGTGGCTTATTCACAAAGTTCGGTTGAATACACGTTGGGTATCTGTAGGTCCGCCTGACGGGTCTTCTCCAAGTGAGTATATTCGTTGACGATCGAAGGCTCTGTAAATCTCAGTGGTATCTGATTCTATACGAACAACAGACTCACAAACCAAGAAAGTTAAGAGATCTTGAACTTAGGTTTGCTTTGTTGGGTCGCCTTAGGGTAATGACCTGGTGCCGTGATAAAATCCAAAAGTTGAAACACTACCAAACAACACAACAACAATATGATTCAAGCCAATCTCACTGATTTTAGCTCTTCATAGCAGTAGGTATATCTCTGAACAACGATCGTAAGTCATAAGTCCCCCTGGATCCGTTTATCCGTCCAAGTTACATATAGGAAATCTCACGATGGCTTTACACCTCTCTGGCAATGATCCCATTCAATGACCGGTCATCTTGTCTTCTCCGCTCATGTGCAAGAGTCAAACCCTCTGACGCGACTGCCACGGCCCACAACAGCGCCAGTCCCGCGCTGACAATGACGAGAATTTGCTCGTTCTCGTCGAGCGAGGTCTCTGTCAATATACTCGACGCCTGCGACAATTGGACGATGAAGAGTGCAACCCACGAGCTTGAGACGATGTAGTGCAAGTTCTCGGTCTAGAGATTCTCTAGTCAGCTTCCTTCACCTGTGTATCAACTGAAGCACCTTAGAAGTACTGGTACGAGGAGAATGAGAGAGCAAGACGTACCTCAACCTCCTCCAATACCTTCTCCCAGAACTTACTAACCCTCTTCTCGCCCCTATTCCGCCGAATAATACCCTCAATACGTTGCATAGGTAGACATACAACCAACTCCCCATAGCCCCTTGCCAGAGCATCTGCGAGCGCCACCAGCCTCTCAACCCTCTCACGCTCCCGCCCCTCCATCTCGTCGAGACTTGACCGAGTTTCACGAGCCAGGCCACGGTAGAGGGCAGGCAGCTCGCTGAAGTGACCCAGCACGGTCCTTGCCGTGGGCGGCTGACGCATGGGTAGGCGATTATACAGGTACCGGTTCTCCGCCGGCGTAAAAGACCTGCCCAACAGAACGGCCGCGGCAAGACCACGTTGAGAGGGGCCAGAATGCGTAACTTGATTGGGTTCCGTATGGTAGTCTTGTCCTGATTGGGGGAAGGAAGTTATTCAATGTTAGCCAAGGAACTTTTGCAATGACAGGAGCCTCCTACGAGACGTAGAACCGGAGCAGCCGTCTCACCGGCCCCCAAAACGTATCCACATGAACAGACAGAGAAAAGGAGAAGGAGAGAAGCAGACATACCTTGCTGCACCTGTTCGGCAACGCCGTCAGGAAAGATGGGGGCCACCGGACGCTGAGGCTGTCCTCGGCCACCCCGCGTGCGTCGTTGGTCTCGCTGTCTATGCGACATGATGCAACATGGGCTGATGTAACGATTCGAGAAGCGATCCGATACGACGGCGCTGTACGAACTTTCGAAATGAGACATTGCGGCACGGTGAAACTTTGAGCGACTGTTCGATATAAAGAAGCTCGTGTACGGACGTCGTTTCCTGTTGTTTGGCGAGGGATCTCGTCCCAGCAACGGATTACAAACCTGACAAGATGCCAAATTTGGATATCTTGCGTATGTTGGAGATGGATCGCAACCACGGGCAAGGAGAAACCCGCCCCGGAAGACTACGTGAAGGGCGATATGAAGTGGAATCACGGCCAGGAGAGCCCCGACCTTGGGAGATTGATGACGGGAGTAGACTGAAATCGCGGATGCCCAGGAGAATCCCGCCCGGGAGTCCTGAAGAAGAGAAGAAGATGGACCAGAATCACGGGCGTTGACTGACAATACCGCCGCGCTCTTGGCAAAAAGACTTCCTGCTTCCTCGCAGGAAGAAATGATGACAAGCCAGAGCGACCAAACAGAGTTGGCAGAAAGTAAGCCTCAGCAGCTCACATCCCTCCAGATACGTGGCGAAAATCCAAAAATCCCAAGCCTCATCGTGGAAATGCCAGAAACTCAATTATCGTTAACGCGTGTCGATGGATCCTCCCCCTAACGCCTAGCCAGCATGGTATCTTGCCTAGAATCACACACGAAAAAGCAAAACAACCACTAGTATGTACTCATCCACTCCTGCAGATGGGAAGACTTGAAAGGGACGGGAGTACAGAGACCGGAGACAAGCCTTTCCCTCAGCAAAAGCCCCAAATCCGTTCGTCATCGCCAGTTCCTCCGGCCTTCGTCCTGCTTCTCCCCACGATACCCGAAATCCGCTTTCCTCTCAAGTCCGCTCTCCTCGCGTCGTCGCGCCTTGCCCGCACTTGGACTTGGTGAAAGAACCTCCGATGGGCGAGAGTCAGGTGACCGCTCTCATCGGTACTGAGGCGGAGCTTGGCCCCAACCCTGGGGAGGCTGACCATGCACTTGCGGGGGCGGCATCTGTCCTCCGCCCTTCATGGCCGTGACGTCGGGACGATTCTCCAGCGGCTGGGCAAAGTTACAAATGTGGCAGACGACGTCAGTGTAGCCCTTGAAGGACAGGGGTATGACGGGCTAGAATTGGTGGGTTAGCTTTAGATATCCCATCTTTTAGTCTCACAAAGGCAGGCCAGTGACATGGAATGGGAGTTCGACAAGGGCTTGAATAAGAGGTACACATAGAGAGGTTCATAAGACACGGAAAGAACACGAATCAATGTGCACAAAGACTCACAATCCAGCAGAATGTGAACCAAGGATGGCTCTTGATGACATGGCCAGACATGTTACCGCAGTTGTAACACTGGCAGACCATGCCCTCGTAGCCCTCGACAGGCTTACGGAAGGTGTGCTCTCCGCACACGAAGAAGAAGAACATTGCGGCGATTGATCAGACGTATGCACGCTCAGTTGCTGTAGGTGCAGGTTGGAAAGCAGCAGTAGTGGCGGGCGGCGGTTGGGTTTGGGCGACTTTTCCGTCGGATGATGGCGGTAAGACTTCCTCCGCCCCGGCGTATCGCGCTTAGGTGGGCTGATGGCGGAAATCGACGGGTGAGACAGAGAAAAGCTCTGTAGGTAAGGCAGATCGGTCAGCCAGTATTTTCTCGAGCTGCGTGGCCTGGGTAAGCGACGACTTTGTTGGACGTCGGAGGTTGCGCCGGGAGTTGAAGGAAGAAAAGGCCGTTGGACGCGGAAGGAACAGTTGACGTTGGCGGAGGAGTGGATGTCCTTAAACGGGAGAAAATGGCAGGCCACTCGCACCTTGAGGTACCTTAAGGCCAATAAAAGCAGGTAAGCAACCCAGTCCAATGAGCGCGAGAGAGCTACGTTAAGCTGTACGGTGTGATGTATCCTGGGCTTAGCTTCTGGCTTTGCTTGCCGAGATGCAGGAATCCCAATTTTTGATAGGTTCCCGACAGACCAACAAGAACCAGAAGGCAAAAGGTTTAGAATGTGGCCCAAGCTTAAGAGGGAATTTGATTGATGGCTGGCGGGTGAGGAGAGCAAATGAGGGACGAACGACTTTCTTGCTAGCTTTGGTGTCACGGGTGTGTGACAGTCTTGCGTGTCCCCTCGAGGCGGTGCATCCTTGGCGATCCAGCCAGTAGCCTCAAACTTGGTGATATTCTACCGACATTCATCCACATCTCCTTGAATGTGGTAGCTACAGGAGAAGGACGAACATCTAGAAATCTAGAGACGTCGTTCCCGTGACACATACTCAGGGGAACTATGGGGTGCATGACAGGAGACCCCTCGTCCGTCTGATACCTCGGCGACTGCAGCAACGCTTCTCAATTCCCTTTATGCCCATTAATGCAGTTCGTTCGGGTAATTTTCTCGTGTGGAATGGAACTTCATGCTCCCAAAGTTGCGAGGTTCCTCCCCGTTCGGCACCTCTCAGCTGCCCATTTCAGCCAATTCGCCTGGCGGGCTGAAAAGTCTAGGATCATCCGTGGATGCCGCTGCAGTCTAGGTTTTCTGTTGGCGACCAAAAGGGGGAAGGGGAAAGCTCACTGCGCCATTCAATCGTTACGTGGAAACTGTGTTATCTGCCATGTGCAACTCTATTCACTGCAACTGAATGCAAACCTTGACATTTGCCATCACTAGTACCGCTCATCAGGGCCCTTGAGGAAGAATAGAAGATTGGAAGCTACAGCTGCTAGGGAGGCAGCCTGCCACGCCTGCCAAACCAACGAGGGCGATCTTCTTGCGCAGGGCATGTCATCGCCTCCACTCCAGTCCGATGTTTCCGCACCCCGTTCTTCCCGCTGTTACCTCCGGACAAAAAGCGCCCAGCCATCAGTGACACCTCAATCAGTGGCTTGAGTGGCACGAGTGGGAAAAGGTCACCTAAGAGGCTAAGGTAAGCAAAGATGAGTTTAGCGCCATGCAAGCCACTTTAGGCCCCACGTTTCTTAAAGTCAACCTCCATACCTAGTAACCTTTTTGCCTGTGTGGGTGCGTCATCCCAGCACCAGAACCGAACCCCGCGGAACCAACCTAACACCGACCTCCGTCCTGCGTCCAAAAAATTTCGGCGACGCGCTGTACCACGAGAGTCAACCTCGAAGCCATGAAGGTTGCGACATCAATTCGACCAGCAGCAACGCCGTGAGCTCAAAGTCTTTGCTCTAGCCACCGATTTATCACTGCGATATAACTTCGAGGAAGGTACCGTGCACGCATTCGGCGCCGAGCCAGGACAAACACCCGACCACACCAAGAAAACAATCACCGCAAGCTCCCATGCGCCAAACCCCACGATAGCTTCATCGAAAATCCTCCCAACTAACCCAAAATGCTCTACGACCTCAACATCCCGTGGTCCCCAACCACATCCCCCGCCGACCTCGCCCGCACAATCTCCTTCGCCTCCTCCCTAGGCTACACAGTCCTCGCCCTCAACCACACAATAACGCCCCCGATCCCCTCGCAAATCACAAACCCGCTCCCAAAGTTCCCATCACAGTCAACGACAACAGCAATACCATCACCACCAACAGGGACCACATCACAACCCCCCCAACAACAACCTTCCAAACAACCAACAATCCTCCACCGCGCAACAGTGACCCTCTCAGACCCCTCCCAAAACTACCGCCTCCCAACCCTCGCCCTAGCCTACGACATCCTCGCCGTCCGTCCCACCACAGAAAAGGCCTTCCAGGCAGCCTGCCTCTCCATGGCCGAGCCCTCCCTCATCTCCCTCGACCTGACGCAGCACTTCCCCTTCCACTTCCGCCCGAAACCCCTCATGGCCGCCGTCGCCCGCGGCGTCAAGTTCGAAGTCTGCTACGCCCAGGTCCTCGCTTCTTCGTCTTCCTCTTCTTCCGCCTCTGGTGGAGGCATCGGCCCCCCGCCCGACGCGAGAGCCCGCGCGACCTTCATCTCGAACTTTGCCTCCCTCGTCCGCGCGACAAAGGGCCGCGGTATCGTCGTCTCCAGCGAGGCGCGCGGCGCGCTGGGGTTGAGGGCGCCCAACGACGTTGTCAACTTGCTCGCCGTGTGGGGGTTGGGCAGCGAAAGGGGCACCGAAGCGTTGGGCGTCAATCCGCGCGGCGTCGTGGTCAACGAAGGGATCAAGAGGAGCGGGTTCCGGGGCGTCGTGAACGTGCTCGAGGTCGGGGGGCGGGAGAGCGATGTGAAGAAGAATCAGCAGCAGCAGCAGCAGGGGAAGAAGGGCAAGAAGCAACAAGGCGGCGGCGCAGGTGGTGGTGGTGGTGACAAGGGCAATGCGCAGAAGCGCAAGACGCCTGATGAGGGTGGTGATGGCGCGCAGCCTACGGTTAGCAAGAGGCAGGCCAAGAAGTTGCGGTTAGCTCTCAAGGAACAGGAAAAGGAGGCTTCATAGATGCTTAGGTCAGGAACAAAAAGAAGAGAAGAACAGAAGAAAAGGGCGTGAGAATGGTATGGGTAGATATTGGGTTGGGCGGAAGTCATTTACGCTTTATGATACCCCTTAGAAGAGAGCATTCTTGAATCTCTGTATACCTCTTGATCAGAATATCAACGCCTTTCACAAGCTGAGGATGGCGACGATAGATTCACCGATGTAAAGAGCAGTCATCCATCCCTCACACAGCACAAGAGATGCGTTATGAAACTTGACCATCTCCTTTCGAATGCAATCGTATATAAGTTTGGGGATAAGGGCCTAGGTGGGTGCAAGTGTTTGGGTGTTGCCTTTTTGTTTTTCGATGCCTTCAAGAAATGAATTATGTACAACCGCGGGGGGGATATGTGTGTATGTTGGCTCAACTTCTCCAAATCCCTCTCCATCTTCCCATTACACACGCCACACCATGTTGAAGCTTTCCAGAAAACCAACCTCATCGCACGCGCGCAGTCGGTCGAGACGTGTGGTCGTAAGGAGGGTGAAGGGTGGATTTTGTCTGACGCTGCCTCCTTTTTCCACGTTCCTCGCTCTCTCGTATATACCACCATGCCAAACCGAGACCTCTCCTTCCCCTATTTCACCATTAAAAACCCCTTCCTTTCCAACCAACTTCCCCCTTTTTCCAAGAATCGAAAAATCTAGGGTATTTCGTATGCCGTTGCTGAACCACTTTCAAGTCGTCAACGACGTCGCCTAGGTACGTCTTATGCATACGCAGTATATGCAACCCAACCTCCCTCCCCTGGGTACCACCTCACAGTCCGATTAAAACCCTCCCTCAGCACTTGCATGTCGACCAGAGAGTTTAACAAGTAGTCGATCCTTTAAGCTGGGGGCGTCGCACGAGCCTGGAGCTGCGCAGTCGCTTGCAAGAGATTGCCGAGCTGGAGAGATCTTGTCAATGCAAGGCCGCTAACGGCGACCTGGGGTTGAGCGGGGTTCGCGGCGATCGGTGCGACGGGCGTTGCTGCAGCGGGCTGGTTGGCAGCGCCGTTGCCGTTGAGGCCGCCAAGGTTGACGGAGGCGGACGGTTTGCTGACAGCGGGCGCGTTGCCCACGAGGGGGGCAGCCGGGGGTTGAGGGGCAGCGGGAGCCGGAGCAGGTTCTATCCATCCAGTTTTAGCCTATCCTCGAGCCTGTCTCAAACCGTTCACAAGGAGAATGCCACTTACGAGCTGCTGCGGGAGGCGGGGTGGCCGCAGGAGCCGCCGCAGGGGGCGGGTTCGATTTCAAGCCAGCGAATGGATCTGTCGGTGGAGGTCCCGGAATGACCAGAGGCGCTTTCGATGCCGCAGGAGCGGCTGGCGGTGCCGCCGGGGCTGCGGGAGCTGCAGGAGCCGGTGCAGCAGGCTGGGCCGCAGGAGGAGCAGCCGGGGGAGCAGCCGGGGGAGCAGCCGGAGGCGGAGGCGGAGCAGCAGCGGGCGGCGTTTGCGTGACCAACTGCGTGATGATCTGCGGAGGCCTATGATATGTTGGTCAGTGATCTCATCTCATCATATTGAGTAGTCCCGCGTTCGCTAGGTTGAGAAAGCTTACGGAGGAGCCTGCGTAACGAAGACCGTCAACGGCGCAGGTACTGAGGCATTCTGGTAGATCGTCTTCGTGACAGTGACCGGCGGCGGAGCTGGAGGAGCTGGAGGGCAAGCGTTGTTCGGCTTGTTGCGGTTGCCCTGGTTGTTTCTGCTGCCGCCGTTGAGAGCGTCCAAGATGCCGGCGATGAGGTTGCCCTGTCCCGATCCTCCTCCATTCGCTCCCTTGTTCAGAGATCCAGCATTTCCAAGGTTCACCGTCTTCACTTCAACCGCGCCCGCGTTGGCGCCCTCTACGTTGACGTTTCCGCTTCCATCGATGTTGATGTTTTGTCTCTTGTCGACAGCCGCGCCCTGCTTTGTCGTCAACCCAAATTCATCACCAATCTCGACGAAGTTGTCCCGCGGTATGTTGAGTGAACGCACCTGAGCGATTGTTGTTAGAGTTGCCACGGCGAAGAGTAGACTATGCCTCATCGTGGGCTCGGGGGCGAAAGCTGGAGACCTTCGAGTGTCGCCAGCGTTTCTCGATTTCGATATTTTCCACTATTCGTATCCTTCCTTTTCACTATTTGCTTTTTCAAAGAGCGAGTTCAACAGGCCAGCCGTCGGTGAGTTCGTTGGGATCAACCCTAGGATCGAAAAGAGTGTATTGGTTTGTGGAGTGTTCCGTAAACCTTCGCGATTACGAAAGGAAAGAGTTACGGGCAGACAGACAGCGACCTGCAGAACATGTCCAGAGTTCAATGAGATAAGACGGCCAAGACCCCCGAGTAGTGAGAGTGATCAAGAGGGTGTGCGGGTACTAAGAAAAGACGAGAGATGTGACCAGAAATGGGTCTGAGGGGGGGTGTGAGGACAAGAGAATGTGAGAGGTGTGAATCTTGGTCAGAGACTGAATGCCGTATTTTCCGTGTCTTTCCCGCCAGGAACAGGCACGCACACACGCAGAGAGTTTGGGTAAGGAGAGCGAGAAGTAAAGGAAAGATGGGACGAAGCTCCATCAAACCACAAAAACAGTCGAGTCTTGAGTTGCGGGAGCCGCAAAGATTAATCGAAAAGGGGACCACGGTCGAGAATCACGAATTGGCCCATGTCAATGCCCAGCCATGCACCATCAGATTGGCTCTTCGGCGCACCGGGTGCCAAAATGCTTGCCAATGCTTGGCCATGGCTAGCCGGGGTGGGCTTCGCCGCTTCATGGTGGACGAGCAGCCAGACAGGGCAAAAAGAAGCTGGACGGGGGCCTGGAACTGGTACGATGGACGTCTTGTCGAAGGCGACAAGTCTTCTGATTTGACTGAATCGACTCTCGATGGAGCAAGGGAGACCAGGGTTTCTGTCAGGAACGCTGCAGACTCGATCAGTGCGGTTCAGGGCGGCCAAGAAACGCCAGGGGCCCGCTCCCCGCCATGCTGCATGCTCGCCTAAGGTACGCAGTATGGCTCACCTCATCCATGTCCAACATTGTCGGGTCGGGCTAGGGATCGTGAAAAGGTCGATCGGAGATGGAGGCCGTGTGAAGCAAGGTGTCGTGGAGCCGCTGCAGAAGGGTCCGGGAGGGCGTCGAGAGAGGTTAGAAGCATTCCAATCATTCCACGGCGCTGGCGAGGAAGAACCCTGGGCTGGGCTTGCTGGGGCTCAAGGGTGTGAGACATGCCCCAGACGAAGACCGTCTGAGACGGGGGGGCACAGTGGCAGAGCCACCAGAGCCACCCCAAACTCGCGCCAGGGCTCCGAAACTGCGAGAGCGCCAGACCTGCGAGCCACACCCTTCGGCCACTAGTCCAAGTGACAGCCAACGCAAGCCAACGCTAGCTTCTAGAGGGCAACTGCAACGATGAACCGTCGAGACCCGACTTCGACGATGGTCCATCCCATCCCATTGTGTCTGTGTCCGTGATGTGTGACGTGATGCTAGTTTGATGAGGAAGCCATGCGAGGGGCGGACATGATGCGAAAGACCGACGGCGGCTTCAAAATCTCGGTGGCCACGGGTGCCATAGGTATCCCACTCCATGATCCATCCTTGGCCCTCATCCCTCCGCTGTCCAGTACACCACGCCTCGAATCTGTACGGATACACCAGCAACGAGGTATCCGTAGATGAGTGAAACAATGTTTCCCACGGGTATGCGGGATATTCTTTTTGGCTTTCGTTCTATCCCAGCATGTCGCCATCAACAACGTTGCCGCTACTGCTGGAACTGCTACAAACTGCTTCCTTGACTCGTGTTCGTGGTGACGATCGTTGAAAATAGAACCCGCATCGCAATCACGAAAAACTCTCATTTCGTTTCCCCAGACTCTCCCAGGGCCCAGGCGGCTACCGCTGCACGAAATGCATCGCGACTGGTGGGCTTGGGAGAGGTCGTCGGGTCGGGGCCCACGACAAAACAAAAAGGTGTCAGCGCTTCATCGACACTTGGACAGGCGGGACGCACGCATCCACCATGCCTCGCACCCACGTGAAGATCAACAGCGTGGGATGGGCCTTTCAGATGGAGCATCCAGTGCAGGTCGATGACAGGCGAGGTGGTCGGCGCCCAAATTCTCTTGCTCTTGCTCTCGCTACGTGGCGAAACAGAGGGACCAAAGACAAAAAGAAGCGCGGATACGGATGCAGATGCAGTTTTCGTAGGATGTGCGGCATTTGTGGATGACTGATGAGTGATGAGCCCATGGATGTCTTCGTCTCAACTTGCCTTTTGTCCGCATCGTCCCTTCGGACAGTCGAATGAGCCCATCGCCGAGACAGCTTCTGTTGCCAGACACGTTGCGCTTGCGTACGCAGTACAGTAAGGTAGTATCTGTAGACTAGAGCAGGCTCTTTCTCTTGCTGGAAGAAGGGACAACGGCATTGAGACAACGAGGGTCGTCCCAAGGCGAGCAGAAAATGAACACCATTGCTACAATCATGGGCTTTTCGTGCCTCAAGTGGCTGGGGCGACATGCGTGCTGAAGCAATGGGTCAAACGAGCGTGAGCCCGGGCGGCTCGTTTGATGACATGCAGATAATGTGCGTTCTGGTGCATGCTGCAGGCGATGAACATGCCACGGGCCAGAAGAAGACCAGGACCGTCATTGGCGGTTGGCGATGGTGATACCGGCCCAGATAATAGCACGTTTTGATGAGAAATAGTAAAAGACCTCTCTCCGGCGTCGTGGGTGAGGTGAGTCTGTGTTGCTTTCCTGCTCGGGAACGGAATAAGGAACTGGGAGATGGCTACCTAGGCACGCTAGGTATCTCAGGACAATGGTCCCGGAACGGCAGTTGGTGTCGAGACGAGCGCTTCCCGAAGCACCGAGTTCATGTGCAGCAGTCGCAGTGAAGGTTAATGCGACTGTGCACCGACCTGAATGAGGAAGGGGGGTCCCAAGACATCGTGATACATGATACCTTAGACAAACGCCCCCTTCCGACCTGTTGCTTCAATAGGATGTTGCGGTTAAGTCCAGGGATCAGCATGTCATGATCGGGAGACGGGGACGCCAGTCTCCTTCGTTTCACTCAATTCAGTGGGTAAGAGAGAGCCTTACAACGGTCCGAGTGCATGCTGATGTAATTCAGCCCATCCCCTCCTGCACGCAATGTGGCGGCGGCAGCTCCGAACAAGCTTAAAGACAGCGGCTATAGCCTGTGGCTAGAGAATCTCGGATCTCACTTAGGTAATGTGGCTAGTAGCAGTATCTCGTACCTCCCAACGTGGCTAGAACGTGGCTAGAGACCTACCTAGGTACACAGCAACCGGTCCTCGGTGGCCCTGCAAGTCCGATCGATGCCATGGTACAATGTACCCTCATCATACTAATTGGCCTGCATCGGTACACGGGCTCTTTCAAAGCTGAGCCAAAGCAGTGGGCCTACAGAAGTCAATGACGACAGTGTAATCCTTCTTCAACCACCAGTTGAGGCTAAGCAATGAACAGCTAAGATCATCGGGAGGTTTTTTGACGTCGTCTTCCATAGTTTCCGAATCCCGTAATGGTGATGATAAGTTGGTTTAAGCCAGCTTGCTGAACAATTGTGTTTTTGTTTCACATCTCTCATCCAGGCTCATCTTACAGCACCGGCGACTGTGGCCCCCGTGTGTTTCAACACATTTCCAGGCGTCTCAGACTCTAGATCGCAGCCACAGAACAACAACAACAACTCGCATTCAAACGACACACACAGATAAAGGGCAGCCCAAGATGGCGGTTGTACACGTCCTCGACGACTACTATCTAGCCATCACGGCTCTCATCACAGTAGCATACCAACTATTCTTCTTTTCAATAGCCTTTAGCTTCAAGTTTGACAAGCTCACCGGTAAGACCAACTCACACCCGGCCCCTCAAGGCTCATTCCATAATTACACCAACTCACTCTACAAATGAACAATGAACACCAAAACTAACACCTCTCACAGACTTCGCCGGCGGCACAAACTTCGTCGTCCTCGCCATAATCACCCTCGCCATCAGCGGCCACAACCATGCCCGCCAAATCGTCGCCTCCATCTTCATCATGCTCTGGGGCGCCCGCCTCTCGGCATTCCTCCTCTTCCGCATCCTCAAGACGGGCAAGGACGACCGCTTTGACGACAAGCGCGACAAGTTCTTTCCCTTTCTCGGCTTCTGGATCTTCCAGATGATCTGGGTCTGGACCGTCTCCCTGCCCGTCACCGTCCTCAACTCGCCCAACGTCACGCGCTACCCGCAGCACGACTTTGGTACCGGTCGCGACATTGTCGGCGTCATCTTCTTCGTCGTCGGCTTCGTCATGGAGTCGGTAAGCGACGCGCAAAAGTACGTCTTCCGCAGGGACAACCCGAGCCGCGAGGCCATTTGCGACAAGGGCTTCTTCAAGCTCTCGAGGCACCCCAATTATTTCGGCGAAATCATTATTCAGTTCGGTAAGTTCACACTGCCACTTAGTGCCAAGTGATACCACTTCAGACAATGCCAATCTTCTCCCCCATGCTTTGTCAGCGCGACAAAGTAAACCAAAACCAACTCATGAGAGAGTCCTTGGCTAACACTGCATCCAAACGTCTAGGCATCTACATGATCGCCGTCTCGGCAGCCGCCGACGGCTACGTGGGCGGCCAAGCCTTCAAGGCCCTCTACGCCACCATCCTCGGCCCCTTCTTCCTGACGCTGCTCCTCATGTTCGTCTCGGGCCTCACCCTTCAGGAGCGTCCCGGCGCCAAGAAGCGCTACGAGAAGAACCAGAACTGGGAGGGCTACAAGCGCTACCTCGAACGCACCAGCATCCTCATCCCCTTCCCGCCGCAGCTGTACGCCCGCATGCCGACGTTTCTCAAGCGCACCGTCTTCCTCGAGTTCCCCATGTACGTCTTCGACCCGGCCAAGCACTCCGACGCCGGGGCGCGCGCCGAGGAGGGCCAGCAGCACCACCAGCATGAGTCTGTTGCCAAGCCCGCGCACGGGAATGGGAGGCCGAGTGGTGAGGAGTCTCTCGTTGGACAGCGTTCGTGAGCTGTGCGAATGCCGAGGAATTAATCTGGGGAGAGAGCAGGCATATTTATGGTATTCGATTTCTCATGTTTTGACGGCATTACGGCTTAGATGACTCTTTTTCATAGTGTTCAATTTTTGGGGATATCATAGAACCGACTAATACTACCTTCACCACCCCCAAGCTTATTAATTGTCCCAAACAAAGTATCTCTAGTGACAAGACACAAGCAAACGTCATTTACAGCACTCTTACGATGTGACATATACCTGTCGTATCACTCACATCAGTGAACAATGGCTTTCAATGTCCCGCTCAGCTCACACCGCCCGTCAACCGATACCGCATCCGCCAGCGTGCCCCCGCTCCCGCGCAGGTCCGTCGGCTGATCGAGCGCCTCTTGTTGGTCGCCGTAGTCGGTGTACTCTGCTTCCTCGCTGTGGTTCTCCGCTCCTTCGGGGATGGGCACCATGGCGTTCTTGGTCCAGATGTGGACGGCCGTCTTCCAGTCCAGGCCGTCGATGCAGCCGCCCTTTACCGAGACGACGTTCTTATCCTAGGTAGTCACCGGGTATTTAGTCTCTCTTCGTTCTTGGGAGCCTGTGTTTGGGTTTGGCACGAGGACGTACCGGCGTTGCGTGGATTAGTCTGGTTCCGCAGTTGCGGCAAAAGTAACTGTCACAGGATTTGTCAGGCAACAGATCTCAGTTTTTTTTTTTGGTGAGGGAGGGCGTCTGCTCACCAGTAGAGCGTGGCGCCGGACGCAGTCGGCCTCCTATTTGCTCATAGGTCAGTAATGATTTCTATATTTCTTCACAACTCGCAACTCTCTCACTCTCACTCTCACGCTTCACAACCCCCTCCCACACCTATGGCTCAAACGACTGCTCCTTTCTTCTCTTCCTGCTCCGTATGTATAGTACTCACGCGTAGACACCCATCAAATCAGCCTTTGGTAGCTTAAACTTGGGGAAGATTGCAGAGGTCCCGAACGCGGAGCCCGTTTGCCTTTTACTAGAAACCAGAAACGGCACAAGTCAGCATGACTGCGGCCACTCATCGACGAAGGAGAGCACGAGAGTTGCTGAACGTGCCATTCTTCACAGTGACATATATAGAGGCGGAGAGGTTGCGGCAGCGGCGTCTTGAAGGACACGGCTCCGCATTGGCATCGGGCGTCCATCTTGGATGAATCGGAGTTGGAAGTTTGCGTAGTGTAGTTGAGGAACTCCGTAAGGCGTGAGCGGATCAACGGTGATAGTGGCAGTGTGACGTCAGATTGTCCCTTTAAATGCCGGGTGAGATCTCAACTAGAAGGTTGGCAATCCTTTCAGGTACCGAGGACGTCTGATAGGCTGACTTCCTCTCAAGACTCAAAATGAATAAGAATGAGGAAAAGAGAGGAAATCCAAAGTCCCACGTGTAAGTGTTGTAAGGAGAAATCAATTCCTCAGGATGATGTGTGAGGAGTCAGCAATCAAGTTCGTCCGAAAGGGGAATCCTCCCGTCTTTTATGTACCTAATGACTCTCCCCCCCCAAAAAACCACATGACACACACAAAGCTAACGCATGCAAAACGACGACTGCCTATCTACGCAGACACCGATTCCTCTCTACAAACAACCCGACGTCGGGGTGGGAAATACAACTCAACACGCGTCTCAGCGCGATATCGAAAGTAGGCAAGGACACTAATTGCTGCAACTTGCAGCGGTGACCAGGGTCGGGAGGAGGAGGGACGTGAGTCACGGCCGGGGTGGTGTGGGAGAGGTGGGAGAGGGGAGGGGGGGAGTGCGGGGCGAGCTGAGGCGGATGGTCGGGGGACGAGACAGGCTTTTGGAGCGAGACTGGCGCGAAGTCACATGGTTAGCGGCCCTGCTTGACCGGGTTTCGTTGCGGAGCTATCCGTATTTCGCGAGATAGATACTCCAAAAGTACTAACATGCCTTCGGCTTCGGGTTAGTTTGAAAGTTGACTCAGAATTTCGGTGTTATATTCGCGGAAGGGGAAACAGTCGAGCGGTGGATTGGGTTGCAACCGCACATAGGTAGGAGCCGCCTCGATGCTCAACTGTACAATTGACTCTCTTGGGCTCATTGACTATGGTGTACGCAGACTCCATTAGATGGAGATGAGAGACTTCAGAAAGAAGGAGAAATGCGAAATGTGAATTCTGCGTGTAGTACCTCAGAACAGCGTTCGTTGTTCAAGACGTCAAAGAGTCAGAAAGTAGATGAACTGCAAAGAGCCACTGACCGCCTTGCTCCGATTGGCCAATTTCTCGCGAACAGTTCCTTGCACACTGGCGGGACTTTTCCGCGCTGAGTGGATGTCCATTTCAACGTCACATCACTCACCCCAGTTGAACTAATCATTGAACCGCACCGAGCCGCGACGACAGGAGAAACCAGCTTGCAATGTATCAGGGTCTCATTATCTTTCTATCTCATCTGAGTCATTAGGAGCCCTTCCTTGACCAACGTCTAACGGTCTAGAGCCTCGTCAGCTCGCACGCCTGTGGGTATCTCTCTCTATAACTTTTCCTGGTTCCAAGACGATTATGAAATCTCCATCTATCCGTATCATCCAGGGCAGGTCCACCGACGTCGTTGCAAATATCCGTGGTCGAGTATCAGCTGCGACTAGTAGACACCCAAGATGATAGGTCTAGTGGCTCGCCCATGATTAGCGAGGTCAAACCAAATTCAGAATCTCCCCAATAGAAACCCCCATGGCCGTAAATTCAATCAATCGTATCCCATAGCCCCGTGAATGCTTTACTGCTGAACAGTCGAATAGTTGGCAGGTCGCACGAAGTCGATGACAAGGCCCAAGCGGTAGATCCGGTTCCCAAAGAAGATCCAGTTCCTCCACAGAGTCTTTGTTCATCGACTTGGCAATGTGCCCCCAAGCAAAGTCGATTTAGCAAGACAGGCCACGGTCGCGGGTCATGATCTTCTTCTGACGAGGGCCGGCCATCTTCATATTACGGGCTGGGAGGAATGGCTTGTACTTCTTGTCGAAGACACCGCCGGGAACCCACTCCTCCTCGGTGTGGAGACGGCTCCAGATGGCGTTGAGCTTGGTATTGTTCTCAACATCGATGCCAAGGAAGTCGACGCTGTCGCGTCTGTCGGGGGTGATGAGGATGGTGATCATCTTGGGTCCATCGATGAAGATGAAGATCAGGATACGGATGATGGCGACAGAGAAGTAGCCAATGAGGAGGGCAAGGGGCTTGACAACCATCCAAACAGTACCCTTGATGATATTGGCGATAGTCGGGTTCATCGACATCAAGAAGAGAGTGATGAGGATAAGAACCGGAATGCGGACCTCAGGAGACCAAGCAGTAGAATAGTCAATGCTGAACTCAGGGCAATGAGGATGGAAGCGACCGCGCATAATGTGACCGTTCATTTTCACTGCGAATGGTAAGAATTTGTTCAAGGTTAATGATGTTCTTCTGGCTTCAACTAACCAGATATTGTGTGAGTAATTGAAGTGACTGTAAGGCCTTCGCGATGTTCTTTAAGGGGAATGTATGTGATCTCTTTGATGAGAACACAGGAATCTGTGACCTTGTTAGCGAACCCTCACATCCAGGAATGCCACTTTTGTCGTACTAGGGAATGTGGCCTTGACAAGAAATTTCTTCGTCGTCAATCGGCCTAAGAAGCGCCTGAAAGTCGCAAGTAGGAGCGGTCGGTATCCTGTAAGGTGAGGATATTGTGTAAAATTGCAAGTAGGCAATGTGTACAAGAAGATGATGCTCGAGGAGAAAAGCCGAGGGCTCAAGAGAAGGGGAAGGGTGAGAGGCGGAGTGGGAAGAGGAATCTCTTGGTAGCAAAAGACTGGCTGCTTTGATGAGGGAAAAAGAAGAAAAAGAAGAGCAGTTGGAATTTTTTCAAAGTGGGCGAAGAAAGTAGAAGGTGAGGCCGGCTGGGTCAACTTCAGATGGAAAAACGGCAGGAGCAAACAATAGCACCTACCTTTGGTCTTGAACAGTGAATATTGGGTCTTGCCTCATTCACCTTTCCAGAACGAGCCTGAGGTATTCATAATAATGGAGATCCCATTCCTAATAACCATAACCCAGACTGTACAATGCCTGATGCCATACTCCCAGTTGCATCTCCAGAACGGCAGGCGCCTCATCCCGTGACCATATTTCCATTCGACTATATCTTCGCCTCTTCATCCCAAGGACCAAGAATCTGACTCCTCTCTCGTCATTCGTGGCTTGGATTTTGAGTGTCAATAGCCAACAGCCATCACCCTGAAAGCCATATATCCCAGTCTATGCTTGAGTAATACTCAGCAGGGGGCTCAACACTGCGCAATGCCATCAAAGACTTGCCTTTTCGACCCATTATCCTCCTCGAGCTTCTCAACACACCTCACCACAACGAGGCTATCCTCCCCATCCTTACCGACGTTGAGCATCTTCCCAAGCTCAGCACACCACTCGAGCTTTTCCCCATCACCCCAATCCAGCACCGAAAGCTCCACCTCCAGCCTTCTCAACGCCCTCAGCTTTCGCAGCCCTTCCTCGATCCATTCTGGCCTGCCATCGGGCCGTGTCGTCTTGGAGCCTAGCCCCATGGCCTGGGCCTCTGCATTGTTTTTCAGCGCGGAAAAGGGGGCAGTGGGTTCGAATATCCCACCTCCTATCAGGATCTTGAGCCTCAGTCCCCGCAGCCCGGAGGCCCAATGCTCACACAACTCAGTCCACTCCTTCAGCGCTGGGCCCGTAAAGTCGCGCCCGAGCATCTCGAGCCTCGCCCACCGCATCTCATCCCGTTGCCATGGCCGCAGACCGCGTGTGAAGGCTCGCGCCGCCCAGAGCCCCGAAGAAAACCAGTTGACAAAGACGAACTCGTTGGTATGGAAGGGGTAGGACCGGCACTCGTTATAGATTTGCCTATTGGTCTCCAGGAGCGCCGAGGGGATACCAGAGATTGGACGGTTTGGTGATAGCAGCGATGGCTCTTCAGACTTTTGGTCTCTGTTGGAATCGTCCTCTTGTCCTGCGGGTTGGCCAATGGCTTTCACAATTTTCCCTGGTACGGCACAATCCTCAGTTTCCACTCCGGGGGGGTTGACGGGCCTCAAGAAGTACGCACTATGTATTGGATTCGGATACCACGGCGCGAGCTGCGCGTGCTCAACTGGATGTGCCACGTGGACCCAGCCGTATATCTGGAGGCGGATTTCAAGGGGCAGGCCGAGGAGATGCAACTCGTTCTTCGACACATCCATGGCGGCGGTAGTAGTCTCACCTGGGATTGCGAATGTGGTTTGTATGACCGAGGCGAATGAAGCGACGTTCAGTTGGCCATCCGCGGGTTCTTGGACAAGATGAGAATCGACGAGATCCAGGGTCCAGTAAGTATAAGTGGCTTTAAGCGGGGATCGTGGTTGTCGGGTCCTAGATGGCTCAGTAATCACAGTCGCGAGATGTTGTGAATGTCATCACGGAATCTCAGTGGGCTTTCGGAAAACGATGGATAAGCTTCAGCAACCGAAACAAGATAATGGGCGCGCCTGTACAACATATACTACGACCACCACTGAGTCTCACTCATCGCCCAAACCAGCTACCCAGCAAAGAAACGTCGGGGCTGGGCCGGAGTCCAGCGTTTGGAGCTCCCCAATGGCTCCAGGGACCGTCGTAAGCCAGCCATGTAAAAGAGGGGGAAACCAAGCCCATTGGCCCGCTGGATCAGGATCGGATTCCTTAATGGACAGAACGAGTGAAGGACAGGTAAGCTGACACTTGCAGCAGTAGCAGTACGCACGCAGCGCGAACAGGAAAGTAACCAACAGTACAAAGAAAAGATGGGGTGCGAACCCGATACAGACGAGCCAAGCCAGACCGAGAGCAGACCCAACCACCCCTGGCGAGGTCTTACATCCAACCTTGGCGAGATGTCAGCCCTACTAGCATCCATCCGCGATATACTAATCGAACGCCATGGTTGGTGATCTTACGATATGGAAATACGGCAAGAGGAGAAAGGCTTAAAGCACATGACTGCGGGGGAGTCGACATAATCCATGCTCGCACTCGCTCGCAACTTTTCGCAAGGTCTCCGTCCTAAGGGAAGAAAAGAGAACGGTCGTTCAAGCATACCTAGGCAAGCTAGGTAGCTTCTCCCCGGCCCCTCTTTACTCGCTCTCCTCTTCGGATTACTCCCCCCACTTTCAAGGGATGAACCCGGCCGGCGGCTCCAACCAAAACCAACATACCAACCACATAATTCAGGCCGATCTTCCGCGAACAACAACCCCTTCCGAGACAACAAGCTTCCATATCGGTCACAACAGAAACCGCTGGTGTTGAGAGATTCGGAGAACAGAGGGGGGAAGTGATCCCTTCAACCTCAATGGAAAATCAATTTCCAGAGTTCTATGAAGTACAAGAGAAACTCAAAGCAGAGCGCCCTCCCCGCACCGGTGTCCGCCACGTGGAGAAGCCCGTTGCTCAGCTCGACAATGACGGCGTCGTGGTGAGTGTCATGTGCCAGAACCATTAGCTTTCGCTCGTACTCAGAGCCACACCACCTCGGGGTCCGCCCAAGACGCCGCACCCTTCACCCATACGCCCATAGCTACATCCTTCATTAATGGAATGCATGTGTATTATAAGATTGAGTTGCATGCCTCGCGAAGGGGCACTTTTAGCATTAGCTATACTTTGAAAAGGGGCTATCCTATCTTTGTTCATCGAAAACGTCCTCAGCAACCTCCCCCTCTCGCCCACTATCCTGAATTACATAGCCAGGAGTGTAAGTTGGGGGAGCAGCAGCCTAGCAGGTCTCCCAAGGACCCTCCCTTTCAGAATTCTTTCTTCGACTTCATTCGCGTGACGTTAAAACAACAAGAGACCCCACCTCCCTCCCATCAAAATCTCCTCGAATTTCCATTCTCTCATGCTTCGCGTACAAAACTCCTCGAGCAAAATTAAACGCCCCAAGGCTGTAGAGACCGAGCGAGCCCTCATTCTATAAAACCCACGCTTGGGACCAGTTAAAGATCCCACAGGTGGGAAAGGTGTATAGTATATACGTCAAGTGACAAAACACGAAAGAACAAGGAAGAAAAAAAGGTAGACCTCTTTTTTGTTGTCATCTTCGTCAACGTCCCAAAACTCGCAGAACACATAAATGCAAGCAAAGCCGCCCCGAGGACAGCAGGGGTATCAAAACTCTCTTCCAGTGATGAAGGAGAGGGTTGTGTGGTGTTGTCGTTTCAAGATTATACGCATCTTTTGGAGGGGAAGGTCGGATTCGAAACTTTTCTAGGCCTCAAACCGAGTTTAAGAGAAGTCGTCGTCTCCGTTGCTGACCATTCGGTCGACGCGCTGGACCAGCTCCTTGGTCTCCCGAGCAATTTCGAAAGCAATGGGCGGTAGGGTCTGCGTCCACATCCTCCACTCGCGATCGTTGCGCCCGGTGGCACCGACGTCTTGGCCGCGGTCAATGTCCATACCACGGTCGCTGGCTTCCAAAAGGCGGTCCCGGCAAGCGACAAGTCTGGTGATCATGCTGCCGTTGCCAGATGCCTCGGTTTCGCCAATGACCTTGTCGACAACCTCTACGATGCCGTTGATCTCGGATGTAATCTGGTTGATGGCGGCATCGCTTCGGATGGAGCCAACCAGGTTCTGGATGTTTTGAACCAAGATCGCGGTCTGGTCCTCGAGATAGATCTTGAGATCTTCAGCCCGATTGTCCTGTTGTCGCATGCCGTTACCGTAACCATTGGCTGGCCCGTTCTGATTCATGCTCGCGAACCCACCCATCCCGTTCATACCGTTCATACCATTCATGCCATTGGCGCCTCGGGCTTGGTTGTAGGCGTCCGCAGACTGGCGAGGGGAGTTGATGGGGCTGTAAGCGGAGGAGTCCATACTGGTTCGGCCACCGCCAAGCCCACGAAATGGTGCGGGCGCCTGTCCCAGTGGCGGCAAAGACTCCTGGATGATCGACTCTTGTCTCGAGGCCGTTCTAGGGGAGAAGAAACCGGTCGAGTCAACGGGAGTGATTGTGCCGTCATCCTCATCCTCGAGTTCGCCAGCGGGCGTGGATCGAATCTTTGCAACTCGGAGGAGATCGACAATAGCGGCAACCAGGTGAGTGGCGGCGGCGTCGAGGAGGGAGACTGGCGTGATGCCTGCCGATGAAGCAAAGTTCTTGGATGTCGTGATGAGGTGGTTGGCCGTCGAAGAGATCTTGCCCTTGAGCTTGGAACGCTGCTGCGCGAGCTCCTCGTTGGTAGCGACACCCTCGTCGATATCCTTAGTAATTCGGCGAACGCTGACAACGACTTGCTTCATAGCGTCAATGACGGTGTCCGGGTTTCCCGCGCGCGCGCGTTGGAGGAGTTCGTCGATGGCGATCTGGAATTTGGTGACGTGAACATCCTTAACTGCGCCTCCGTCCTGTGCAAATCCCTTTTCTCTGATGTACTTTGAGGCATCTTGCTCGACGGTTAGTCCCAGTGAGGAGGCACGCATGCTGCGAAGTTGTGTCTTTGTTCGTGCGTAGCGATTGCGCCAGTCGCGAACCTCTTCTTCCAGCTGCTCGATCGTCTTCTCCAGCTCCTCCTGCTTTTGCCAAGTTGAACCGCTCTGTTGTGAAAGCATCTTCATTTCGCGGAGGAACTCCCGAGCCTCGCGTCGAGCCTCTTCCGTAACTTGTTGCTGCTCCTGTAGAGATTGGCGAAGTTGCTGGTTTTCCATTTGCAGCTCCCTATCTGCATTGCCAGAGTTGGCTGCACCTGCGGCCGCACTGGACAAGCGCAATTCATCCATCTGGTCTCTTAATTGCCGAGATTCGTTGGCGTGTTCGTCCCGCATGCGATCCAGCTCCTGCTTCAACGACGCGTTAAGATCTTGAGCCTCGGCGAGCTTGTTCTCCAGGCCAAGGCGCAGGTCGCTAAATTCCTTCTTCTCCATATTCGCGGCTGTTGACCGTGATCTTTCTCCATCCAGTACACTGTTCAATTCGTCGTCCTTCTTCTTCATCGCATCCTCCATAACATCAAGCTTTTCGCGCAGATCGCGCACTTGAGTCTGGTATTCGTCCAAAAGCTTCTTGTCGGCCTGTCATAGCTGTTAATGTCTCCACTCGATACGAGAATATTTTGGGTAATGATCACCTCTGATGCTACCGCGCTCCGCTCCGTGACTTCGCTTCTCTTGCTACGATTAGTCGCGGTTCGTTCGAGGCCGAAAGCTTCCTCGTCTTCGTTCGGGCTGCCATCGTCGTCTTCTTCCACCATTGTACTTTTGTTCGGCACGATTGTATTGCTCTGAAATTGTTTCTGCATAGGCCGGTTGTAGTCGCCATTCGGAGGCATACCCGGGGATGGAGGCACTCCGTAAGGGTCGGGCGGTGGTGGTCCACCTCTCATAGAGCTCGCGTCTGAGGGCCGTCTCATCCGACTTTGACTCCTTGGATAGCCATTCCCGTTGACTGTTGCCTGCGAGCGGACCGATACGGGGCTACCCACTCTAAGGATGTCTCCAGCGGCAAAGCGGGGAAACCTTCTCTCCAGTTCGCAAAAGACGTCTGTTGCAAGATCACGAAAGCGCGGGGGGCCAAGGGATGACAGTTTTTGCCTGGCCTGGTTGCGTTTGGGGTGGAAGTTGGATTCGGGCATCAGGTAAGGGGGTGGCCCCTGACCGCCAGGACCCGAAGGTCGGCGACCGAGGGATTGTCTCCGCAAAAGTTCGTCAAAGACATCGGTACTGAGTTCGAGAAACTGGACAGACGACAGGCGCAACAGCTTGTCGCGGGCCTTATTCGGGGGTGTTGGTTTCCCGCCTGAACCGCCATTTAGGTAGTTCTTCAAAGCGACGTAATGCTCGCCCAGTATGCCCTCGGCTTGCTCCTCGCGGATACTCCGTCCGCTCTCGCTCCTCGCATACATATTGGTGCCATTGCTGGATCGGCCGACAGAGGGCGGCGGTGAGGGACCGCCGGCACTCCGGGGACCGGGAGGAAAATTGCCATTCATGGCCCCGTTGGAGCCTCCTGAATTCGGGGGTGATACGATGTTGCCGCGGTTTTTTGCGTACGGATCGTCGTTGATGTTCGGGTATTTGCCAACAGACCACTCGCTTCCACCTAGAGAGACAGGTGAGAGAGGCGCATTGCGACCATTCATGGTAGACCTGGGCAAGTTTTGTATGGGAGTATGTTCGCGCGTAGATGAGCGGCAGGCTGTCGAAGGAACAGAAACGCGGCGCAGCGAACAAAGGGAGTGTCGAAATCGAGAAGGAGGCCGAGGTCGAGGTCGAGTTCGAGGGTCGGGTCTTTCAATTCGGTCGGGGGTAGTGGCAGCTGAACGTTTCTTCTTCTCCTTCTTCGTACGGCACACTCGCCTGACGTGTGTGACAGAATGCCAATCCAATCAGGTATACGCTCGTACCCAAAACCAAGGCGGAAACCCAAAAGCCAACCTAAATACGTATTGTCGCAGAACCTTTCTCTCGCTTTCTTTATTTGGAGGATGCCGGTTAAAGGTTGGGCGGGTGTGCGAACTGGACTGCGTGTGGTTCAGGTTCAGGTTCAAGAGATGGGGTGGTGAATAAAGAAAGTATTGGAGACGGTCGAGGAATGTGTCGCAGGCTGATAGTGAGATATTGTGGTAGAGGGGCGTGAAAGGAAGAAAGGGGTTCTTGTTTCTTCCAATCCGTCGTCTTTCAAGCGTCAATGTACGGACAGGCGGTGGATGCGACACGGCATGGCAGGGTGGGAGGATGAAATGTCGTGTCAAAAGGGGATATTCTGACGGTGGTGGATGCAGAGAAAAAGCAAATGCCGCAGAGAAGACGTGGGACAAGATGCAAAGGGCGGCTAGGTGCAGTTGCAGTTGCAGCTGCGGTTGCAGCAGAGACAAAGCGCAAGGCGAATTAGAATAAGGTATCGATCGGTAAGGTATGGTAAGGTAGTGTGGGAAGAAAGGTTGAAAGAGCAAATGGCAACCTTGAAAGTAGAGCAGAAACTCGAGAGCAACGCAAAACAGAGCGCATGCAGCAAGGTAAACGACGTACGGATAGAGAAGCAGAACAAGAGCAGAATCCGCGACGGAGGTGGTGAGGCATGAAACGTCGAGGTGACTGGCTGGGATGCCTCGACCAATGGAACCAATCGATGCACCGGAAGGAGGAGCTGCTGGGGCCCTGCCGCCTTTGGGGTTGGGTGCAAGAAAAAAAGGGGCGTGGATGGGCGAGTCCAGTGGATTTTGGGGGATGCACTGGGGGGGAGGGGGGACTTGGGAGGATCTGGGCCACGAACTACGTTGTGTGGTACTTTTTTGGTGTGGTTGCTATGGAAAGATACAAGTAGACCAGTAAAGGACCACGAGTCGCTCAAGTACCGTACCATAGGTAGCGCGTACCTACCTTAGGTAGGAACCTTTAATGGACTGAACGCATTGATAAAGGTTGTGGGCAGCGATTGCAGTGGTGATGGACCTCCTCTGGGCGCTGGAGCTTGTCCTTACCTTAGCGCTGTCCGCTGTTGCTGGAGGGAACCTACCTCAAGTACCTTACTCCGTACTGTAAGAGAGATGGACTTTCTAGAAGATACAAGTTACAACTGCCCAAGTATCTTGAAGAGGAAGAGGGAGGAACGCACGCACGGCAACCTTAGTGGAAGGGGAAAGGGCGCCGCTGCCGGGAAGGGGTAAGGGGGGTGGAGGAGGGGAAATGACGCTGGAGAACACAGCCTGCCGTTGTCATGTCTTGTTCCTCTTGTAGATATGTACCCTTGGGCGCATCAGACACCCGATCATGGCTGGAGAATGCATCGCGTGGTACTTGCGAAATTGCCCATGATGATATTGCGACTCTCCACCGTGGTTGTGCGATGATCAATCTCTTTTGGGGTCACCTCCGGGGATCATGTTGGGGGCCACTTGCTCCAATGTCCATGTTCATACTTCATCGTCCATCATCAATGATGACTTTTTCTGGACGATCCACGCATAATGGTGGTGATAGTACCGAGTAAGGGGCCTTTTTGCCGGTAGATGAGTCCGTACGTTATCACACCGTCCAACTATTCGTCCGTGGCCCAATGCAGATGTACAACCACAGCTACTGATGCGATACCTTCGAAATGGCACCGTCCCAGCGGATGGAGGGAGCCAGCTCAGACCATCCCAAGCACCAAACACTTGTTTCTTCTTCCCCGTTGGAGGGAGAGACAGGAGCTCAAAGTTATCCCCGTTGTCGGGCCTCATCCTCAAAGACCAACCCAAAGACCAACCCAAAGTTGTACAAGTGACTCGAGTCGAGGTTAGATAAGGCAAGTGCCGTTACATGGACGGGCAGCTCCCACAAAGCCAGAGATCGGTCAAAACAAGCTAACCCTGGTGGATACCGGAAGAGAGAAGCCTATCGCCATGGGCTAAAAGTCTCGTCCTACATGTTCATTTCCAGCTTGGAATGTCCGCGCCGCAGGTCCCTCCGAGTCCCCATACATCCCCGGTCCAGCTGAATCTCTACAAGACTGAAATGGACTGGTTGATGTTGCTGGCAGATCGGTGTCTGGCCTGATTGGAAAAGGTCTGCAGAGGGGATAAGACACAATGGTCTTTTGCACGAGACAAATTCAAAGACACGGCACGATTCAAGACATAGAGATGAATGTGCGAATATTCTACCTTGGACCCTGGGGCACAAGGACCAAACGAGAGATATACGAATACTTCCTACTGATAATTATAGAGACGCGGAATCCTGATTCCCATCATCAAGGTTGCCCCAACTTTGCTGCGCCATCGGCGTCTTGACGGGTAACTTGGTAAGTGGATTTCACTACCACATTACGCGGGTATTGGCAAGCACAGAATCAGGGTCAGGAACGGTTCATCACTGATGACACTTATACCCATTATTACGCAGTATTCCGTAGGGAACTACCATACAGACTGCAGAGTAAACTGAGCTTTTGGAGGTAACCGCTGCAACTTTAACGTTGTACGTACCGTCCCGGTAGCCTGCAAATGATTCGCGGGTTCATCCACAAATCCTACCTATTACCATCCATTCGGCAGCGGCAAGGAAGTGCTCCTTTCTCTCTTGCCTGTCACTGGCAATTGCTGTTGTTGCCGAAAAACAGTCTGCAGTCCATGGCTCCTCCCACATCTCTCAGCTGGAAGATACATTCAATACTGCACTGATAGACATGTAAGTCAATCGATTCTATCCTCTTCTACCTCCATACCTACATCATCATCATCATCATCACTTCGATTCCGTCAATCCATCGGCACATCCATCCCGTCCGCCACACATCGACACCCTCCTTCCCTTTGTTGCGGTTAATGGACCTTCAGGAACCAGCCCTCATTCATGCAACCCTGCAGGCCCAGATCTCCAGGGCCAATGCAGCCTCCATCACCCCTGAGCAAGTGTTCTACCCATGCCGTGATGGCGCGGCCTTTCCACTACCCATTGGCTCATCACACCTGGCGCGCGCTAGCAGCAAAATTCAAAGGTGGATTTGCTCCAGGGCCCGGCCTGTCACTCGACGGTGGCAGTGTCTGTGGGAAATGGGACAAGAATTGGAGACCACGACAAGGGCCTAGCTTTGGGCATGGGCATATCCGGACAAGAGACGTGCCTTGCGGCTTGCCCTCCCTTCCCCTGCCCTTACTGACATGGATAGATTTTAAGCATGGTGGAGATACGATTTGCTTGCGTCCTTGCGCAAGGGGGTGCCGGACCCAGCTCGACAGTCGCCTACCTTTTCGAGACGAGTCCTTTCCAAGCCGCGGGATGCTGGCACGCTGGCTGGCGAGCGCGGCAGGACGAGGCATTGGCTTTGCCTCTGCAGCCCCTTGATGAGCTGTCAGCCTGTCACCGTTGCTTGTCGTCCGTCTCTGCCCTTCAGTTTCCGCCCTACGCTACTATCCGCACGCATGCGGACGTCTCTGACAACCCCAGACTCTTGGCTCAGCCTTTACCAGCTTCTGTGGCCAGACAATCGGGAGACTCTGAGGCAAGCAAGTTGCAAAGCCATGAATCACAACGGAAGAATGCATATTCAGGAACAGTCCCATCGCGACAACATGCTGTTGCTTGGTGCTCGCTGAAGAGCGCTCTTCCATACTCCAGAACGGGATGTGCCATGTGCGCGTCCCGTTCAGCCGCCGCTACCTCTCTCCCTATACCTGGTTCTTCTGCCCGGACAACCGGTGCGTAAACCTCGCCGGCCCCCATGCAACGTTTTATTGCGCCTAAGATTACATCTCATCTTGCCCGCCCTGCGCTTCCTACTTTGGTTCGACAAACACTCTGCTCACCAGAGTCTCGACTGGTCTAGCCCTCTTGGAACCACGAAGAGGGACCCGTTCCTCTACTCTATAGATCCAGATCCCCAATCTGGCACCCATCTCGAAGGCGTCTGCCTCCATCACTGGCCAAACTCTTAGGTCAACTGCCCAGCACCGTTACCGAGCCGCGATCATCCTGCCATCAGTGCTTTACAACGCACGCGTGCTCACGGCGACATTCGAATACACACCCTAATTCGGTACCGGTAGCATCTTGTGCTCACTCTCCCGAGCCAATCATTCGACACCCCGAACCAGGCGCTCCGGGGTGGGAGAGACCCGGCCACGAGGTGAGGCTCAACGGGGGACATGTGACATTGCAAGGTACCTTCAGACCGCATAAACCCCTCCCGTTGCCCGACCTGGCCACCCTGAGGGCCTGAGACGGGAATGAAGCTTGGCCATGCCATCGAACATTCGACGGGCTGAGATGGCCTCGCCGGGTGTTCGCTGAGTTACACGAGTGTTCGCGGATACGATCTTTACGGTACGCGGGCTCGCGTGCGGGACCCCCACCGCTCCAAAACTCCCTAGCCCTGGGCTGTCCGGTTCATCCGCCTGCAATCTACGGATACAGGCTTTGCCAGTTCCCCATGACGACGAGGCCTGGAAAGTCTGCTTGGAGATTGGAATCTGGTGACACCGGAGAACAAAATTTGTTTGGGGCACAGAGTTATCCTAGTTATGACAATGCCATTGTGCGCGCAACTCAGTGCGCCGCAGCGACAGTCCAAAGCTGCCGTCTAGCCGGAGGATATTCCGATTACTGTTCTACGCGTAGTGACGCAAGCCGATGAGAAGGTCACTAGAGTCCGGTTTATCACTGAGCGTTAGCAATAGTGCAGCGTGTTATTGCCAGGAGGCCGCACCGAAAAGCTTCTAGAAGGCCGTGTGTTCAACGCAACCTCACGGTCCGTGGCATAGTAGTCTATTGAATCACACAGATCTCCCGGGCCACCACATATCCCGAACACACACTAACTACGGATAGTCAGCCCCCCAGACACGGAAAGGCTGCAGGGCCGCCGTTGGAACTTGAAGATATGGGAGGGATCGAGCCCCGGTCACGTTCCAGCGAAAGCACACACGCACACACACCCACACCACCATGACGGGATAACTCGAAGCTTCGTGAAACTTGCCTCGACTAAGGCTAGCTCCGAAACGCGGCATCGATAGCTTAATGGGACACCAACAACGGCCCAACGGCAACGGCACGCGGGCGTTTGATTGAACTCTCGAGCTTTTGGGGCTGCCAGTCGCAGTCTGCAGGCCCTCTGCGCGAATAGAAGTACAATAAAAGGCAAAGGCAAGTTCGGCACGGCTTGTTTGCTGCCTGGTCAGGATTCTGGGATCGTTGTTCTTGTCTTTGGAGAAGTGTTGTCATTAATTCATAGTTCGTCTGTGTGTTGGGGGTATCTTTTCCAGAACCTGAAGCTCCCTTCCCGTCTGGAGACGCTCCAGTCTCACTCTCTCATGATTCACACCTTTAACACGGCCAAGTGAGTTCACGCGGCTAAAACTTCGATAGCGGAGCCGCATCTTCCAAGATTCTCCCGCTGCCTCTGTTCTTCGAGCTCGGCTATGGCTTCCGTTCCACGTTGTAACGCGAGAACGACATGCGCAGCTCCCACGTCCAACTCGTCAATGACTGCCATATACCTTGTTCGTCTGATGAGGGTATTGGCATGTCAGATCTAGTTTATATATAGAATCGCAAGCTCTATTTTCCCTTTATCCCGAGCTGCTTTCCATTTTGGAGCTCAAGTGCCCAGGGCTCGCATGGTACACCCTTTTGCCGTGTGATGAGGAGGCCACCTGGGAAACCGCGTCGATCGATACTGAAGAGCCGCAACCGCGACCTCCTCACAGAGATTGAACCGTGACTTTCTGGACATCTCGTCTGTGCGTCGGGATCGGGATCGTGATCTTGATGGGCGTAGCCGCGCCCGCTCTCATATAGAATCTCGGCGGCGTGCGGGAAGTGTTTCCGAGCCTCCGTACGCCTTCCGTACCGGGCGAATAACGCCACGAGCTTTGTGAGATACTGTAGCGTCTCCTTGCGCCCGCACTTCGCCATCTCGAGTCGTTGAGTCAACAGTGTGGGACGCATCTCGGTCCCCACGACTCACAAGCGGATAAGGGAAACACACGCCACCGAAAGCTTCCGTCCTTTTCCAGCTCTCTCTCAGAACCAAGCGAGAGTCCACACAGCAGGCAAGTGAGGCCACCGATCCTGCCACGCGGCCAAGATATCCGGGACCCTCTCATCAAAGCTCGCCCTGCCCGCCGCGCTCCCGCCATCAAACGCCGCCGCCCCGACAGCTTCGCGCTCCTCGGTCGCCGCGGCGTTCAGAGCATTCGCCAGATCCAGAATCGCGCGCCCGCCGACGCTGGCCTCCTCGTGGTTATCCTTGATATCGACATTAATCACGTGAACGGGCCTGTTCAGCGGACTCCCGCGGTTCATGAGGTCGTCGATCACGGCGTCCCAGCAGCGCTCCTCGCAGGTGATGACGACGTCGACGACGCCGCCCTCGACGCCGACGCTGCCGCGGTCCTCGGCGTGGGTGAGGCGCGGCATGCCGACCTGCCAGTCCTGCCAGCGTTCGGGCCCCCACTTAACGTGGCGGTTGCGGTCGACCATGTTGAGGACGCCGTTTGCGCGGTAGAGGCGCGTGTCTTTGGACTCGAGCTCTTTGAAGATGGAGTCGTACGAGGTCTTGTTGAATTGGTAGACGTTTGGCTGGGTGATCGAGGGGCCTGGGAGGCGGACGAGAGAGCCTGTGCCGAAGGAGATTACGGGGTAGTTTGCTTGGGCGAGGCGGAGATGGGAGACCATTGATCTGTTTGACAGTCAGTATGCGTTTTCCTTCGAACTTGGGCCATGGACACTATGTGAGAGTGCGGGCAGTTCCATGATGACGTTAGAGAGAAGCTCGAATGTGCTCTCGCGTGATGAACAATCGGGCCAGGGGACTTGATCGTATCGTACCTATTTTGGTTACTCGCGCACACCGTACAGAACTTGAGCTTGAAGTCGCTTGAAGAAGCAGCAGCAGCATCGCCGCCGTTCGCGGGAGGTGCCGTCGAGTTTGCGCCAGCTGTTGCGGCTGCGGCGCCGCCGGTGCCATTTGCGACCTCCATGACTTCGTGGTGATTGATCCAATGGTTTTTTTTATTCGTGTATGGCGATGCTAAGTGACGATGTTGGGTGGGGCAGACAAGCAAGCTCGATAGGTACGGCACGGAGTATGGTATTGTATGGAGGCACTGCGCGGGAGCTCCACGAAGGTAGAAAGTGGATATCAGCCGGCGCGCGACGACGGGGAGCAGTCAGAATGGATGGATGATTATGGGAAGAGCGTGGGGCCGTCAAAAAGGTCACCAATGGCGGGAACAAGCAGAAAAATGTTTAGGTCAGCAAGGAGAGGGGGGCAAAAAAAAAACCAGCGGGTCGGTCAGCGAGAGAGGAAAAAGTCGAATCGCCGGTGGTCGTCGCTTCCAGTCGTGGTCAAGAAATCTGATCTATGTTTCCGAATTAGCCAAATATTCAGAACACCATGTTTTTAGATGCTCGAAGGCATTAAAGAGGTTTGAGCGTGATTTTTTCAGACAAAGCGTATAAGGTAATAAAGTGTCTCAACATGGGGAATTTAGACAGCTCCAATAAAAAGAATCTCATCATGGAAAAGCTCGAAAGAGGACGGCCAGTGTTTTCTCTGGCTCGTCGCGAGTTTTTTTTTTTTTTTTCTTTCTTACCTTTTGGGGGGTGATTTGATCAGCTTCGATCAATGTGCTTCTCTGTCTTCCGACTGTGCCTTCCTGAGAAAGTGTTTGGGAAGTGTTGACAGAGTTTCTATCTAATCCTCCAGCGATGTCCTGTCGAGGGCTGTTGGAAAGCTCCGAGTTCGACGCTGAAATTTGTTGACGGTTGCAAAGATGGAAGAGCCTCATTGACGTTCTTTTTGAGTGAAGAATTGGATAGCTCGCTTTCGGCTGAATGTCGGGCCTTGAAAGCACCTCAGGGCAGGGCGAGATGAGGGCGCCATCGGATTGGTGGCCTCAGGCCTTCAGTTCGCGAACCTGACCATAGCACCTTTTGCCTGAGGCTCACCTGGGTGCCTGAGCTTCCGTACACTCACAGCCAAAATGGCCCATCTCACGTGGCTGTTTGCGATGAACCAACGTGATTGGCTCTTAGGCGCTCACATACTCTGAAACAGACGACACCTTGGAGGGCACCAATCAAGACGACTCCAACATCCCCAATTGCAGCTGCCGTGCACGGCGTACATTGTCCAGAAATAGAACAGCCAATGAGTACAGAGACATCTGATGGCGTAGGACGCTCAGCCAGAGAGGAACCAGCCCCCAAAGTCTCTGAGAACGGCGTTAATTCGAGCCAACTGCTGGTTCTCGAATGGACGACCAAATGTCATGTGTGCACATAGTTGAAAGTCGTTGCCGGTACTTGGGCACAGCGATCGTGTGCGAGATGCGGGCCCTTGGCCGTCTCGTCCAGTCCTTGAAGGATCCATGGGCTAGACCTTCTCCCGGGGGCTTGCAGTCGGCCCATCAACTATGTGTTGCGGCGCTACTCCGTGCCCTTGGGAGGGCTGCCGCAGGGAAGCAGTAGAACTGGATCTGATCATCGGAAGAATATCTGTCTCTCGGGGTTGGCGGGTGGCCTGTGATTCCGTCCGTCCTCAATGTTTTGCTGCGCCCAGCCCAATGCAGCGCTCGCAACTTCCCGCTTCGCCCTAGGCCCAGTCGGGCTGTGCATTATTACTTACGGATACCTTATTTCACTGCAGGGTCGCTTGCGTAGCCTGAGGTGCTGGTTGGTCTCTAGATGTAGGTAGGCGTTGACGTACGGGATCGATGAACCAAGCCCGCCGGCAGACCGTCCAACATCAGTTGTTGGCGGCACTCCGACAAAGGACGGGATTCGCTGGCGAATGCAAGCGACGACTGCTTACTACCTTACACTTTTCCCGCCCTTCTCTGACCACGACAGTTCCATTGTGCTATTGGCAGTGTCGATGACCGCTGTTTCACACGTGGCTGCTGGCAGCGCGAGATGCAGCCGCTGCAAGTTGCAACAAAGTCGTGTCAGGATGTATCCTGCACGGGAGCCCGCCGATCAGCGCTCGAGTTTCGCAACCTCGCCCTATCCGTAGGCACGTAGGGGCAATCTCATCCACCCTGGTGACTGAAGTCGATACCGCAATTTCGACTGAAGCCCATCCGTCGGCTTGTGGGTTGCCCCACGGTTGGCACTGATGATCGAGAGATGCAGCTAACGAGATAGCGCATGGCTAAGAAAAAGATGGCTGTTTGTGCTTCAGGCTGCTCGTTCACTGGAGATTTCCCAGATCTAGCACCCGGCACCATCGTATAGAGGTTTTGAGAATCATAGTCCAAGTCAGCGAACGCGAAGGACAAGAGCTTGACGCGATGCAGGTTATCAATCTTGTGTTGATGCTCTCTGCCCTAGCTAGGTCTGTTCGCGACTTCGCTCAACAATCATGGGATGAGAGAGCGATCAACCCACCCTCAGTCAGTCCAGGCCCCCAGCAGTTGTACTCAAAGATTCCCGCTGTTACGGTTCGGACTAAAAAGCGAGACTCATGTCAGTGGACGTCCGCTTCTGGATACTTTGTGATTTGCGCCGGGGACGTCCTCGCTAATCAGCTGTGGGCCGGGCTGCTGTCTGACCTTGGTGCGACCTGAACAGGAATCTGCGCCGGCCAATGCTGGAGCACCCAATATTGGTTTTATTGATGACAGCCCGGCCAAAGACCAAGAATAGCATCTGGCACCGCTTTTGCCTTGTTTGAAGCCTTCTTCCTTCTGTATCTGGTGAAGATTCAAGGCCGTTGCCACGGAGAAAGAGTGGGCAAAAAGCAGAGCGTCTAGAAAGAGCATTCCGATTCACATGCCCCCAGCATTCGCCATCCAGACAAAACGGACGACCCCCTGTTTGCTGCCTGCTCGTCCGTTCCGTGTAGGCCGGAATACACAGTGGGGACCATGGATAAGTCGGGCCGGAAGTAGTAGCAGTCCTTTGCCCAGATTCTGGCTCGACAAGACCGGAGATCACGGGCGGCTCTGTGAGAATAAAGTTTGAGCTGAAAACGAGACTTCCTAAGGGAAAGTAGGCATCCTGTAGTCCATACTCAAGGCGCGGACGGACGGCCATCACAGTGTCAGGTTTGCCTAATGAAGGGTGTGAGACTGAACAACGGACGGCCGAGTCAATTGGGTCTTTGCGGGTGGACTATGAAGCAGAGCGAAGCGGCGGTACGCGGCCACGCGGGGAAGAGGTCTGCTTCAGCGTCCCGACCTTGGTGTGCGCGTCCGTCGGTACAGTCAGGCTCTTTCGGTTGTAACCGCACCGGCAGCGAACGCGTAGGCACAGTCATCGACAGGGAAGACGATGTGAGGCTTCCGAAGGGATCCCCTTGAGATGATGGCACCGTTGTGGGAAAAAAGGGGTGGGGGTGAAGAACTGTGAAGTGCGTAATGAGTATCTGCTTCGTCGCTCCCTGATATTAGGACCGTTGGAAGCTAGAGCACGACGGGTATATTGAAGCCACCCCGAGTGCTAGACAGATGCAGATAACTGCGGGAAGATGAGAACCCGTCTGTGGGCTGGGGCAACGACTGCAACCAGAGATGAGCAGCAGTCAAGTGAGGAACATGAGGCAGTACAAACCAAGGTAGGTACCTCACCTGCAGTCCCACTGGCAGCTCAATGTACCCTGAGTTCTGCGCGGCGGAGGAGGGCGTATTCGTACACAGACGGGGGGCATGAAGTCCCCGTGCCCTGCCAGCGCAGGCGAACAACTGAGAGCGCTTGTGTGGACGACAGAGCAGAGAGACAGGCGCAGTGGCAGACGTACTCGAGATTTGAGGTTCCCCTGGGGCGTGTTGAGGTTTGTGGTCTTGGCGTTACCATGTTGGACCGGACAGACCCCTGCAAAGCAGCTGCACAGCATTTGAAGACGATGGAGTTGTTACTGGTTTTCTGACAAGTCCCCAGAATATCATATCCACGAGGGCGTGGAGGACGACGGAGGATATGCCTCAATAGTTCAGATCTGACGTTGGCAATTGCAGTGTATTGCGTATATACGAAATGTAACTTGTATAGTGGCATGGTAGGTACCCGTAATCGAGAAGAAAGAGGGCAAAGAGCATTCCTTCCACACCGGATACGGATAGAGATCCAGCCAGTTGACGCCTGCCGATTGCAGAGGATGGGAAAGAGAAGGAGACACCGATTGTTGGCGCTGACTCGATTTGGGGCCGAGTTGGGGCTTCTCTCATTATGGCACTGGTATCTGCTGGCTGCTGTGTTCGAGTTTCTTTGAGAGTTCGCCGCCATAATTAATATCGATCCGGATTCAGCCCCCCCGCTCTCTCCCACTCTCGCATCTGGGCTAGGTATGCCTTCCAATGCCTGACGCACTCCTGAATCCTGCACTGTCGTTGCTCTTATTCCCGCCTGCTGGTGTCAATTGTTCATTGCTGTAGCCTCTCTTTCCACTGTTGGATCTTACTAGAAGCAAGTCATCAGCCTCTTCTCCCAAGAGTCCTCATTCATAATTCCCTCTCCTTCTCTTTCTCTACCGCTCTCGGCCTCTTCCTCACGCCCGTCTGTTGTGCTGGCCTTTGTCTCCTCCCCTCCCATCAGTTACCCCCTCCTTCTCTGTCCCCCCTCTCTACCTTAGGTATTCACATCAACCACCCCTCACCCCCCCTCCCGCCAGGTCCAACTGCACACAGCCAGTAGGATCACTGCGCGACGCGCTTAGAAGCAGCAAGGTGCAGTCCCGGTGCGTTGGAGGTTGATGGTCAATGGTCGATGCCCACTGTCTGTTCTTCGTCCCTCGCTCTCCAAGACCCAAACTCAAAAAGTAGCTGGAGATAGTGGAAGGGGTAGGTGGTCCGCTCACAGGTCCTGGTGCCACCGTTAGAAAAAATAAAGACTCTGGTGTTGCTTGGGCTTGGCCATAAGGTACTCCGTACTCCCCATAAGGTACTCACTGACCCAGTTGGTCCTACCAAAAGAAACCCTACAAAACCCAAGTATCCATCCACAGCTGTGGTACTTCGAGATCGTGTCAATCCTCGACGGCCACTAGAGGTAGTTGGGTACATATCTCCGTACCTCGAGGTACCACGGGAATTAGTCGCACCTTGAGTCCAGCGTGGGTCAGCCCAGAGTCCAGAATCCAGAAGTCCAAGAGTCCAGTCCCATCTGTGCTCACTGCTGCATCGTCTGGTGCGAGCAAAGAAGGCAAAGGCACGGCCACTTCTACCTGAGCTCTCTGTTCTCTCTCTGCTCTCCCTCTCTGGATGCGTCGTGGGCTCTGTTGTCTGTTGTCTGCTGACTGAGGAGGTGTTTGCTTGTTGTCTGCATCGTTGTAGGTACCTTCCCTGCTGCCTACTACCAGACGACGGGACTTTCTTTTCGAGTACCTTTACTTCGTGCACGCATATTACAATATACCTCTTATTTTTTCCCTTTCCCCTGCTGCTGGCACCTTACCTCGCAAACCCACCACTACCACCACCTAACCTGCGCGCCACCAGCAAAGAAGCGACGGGGACACTCTCTTTCTTTGCAGCGCAGCGGCGTGCCCAGCACCAAAGAAGCAGAGCAGCCAGAACGGCGCCAGCGACCTGAACCCGAACGAACTATTCCCAACCTCACCTTCCCTCCTCTTCCTCCTCTTCCCATCTTCTCCTCCTCTTCCCACCGTTTCTTCCCTCCCTCTCCATCGCTCTCCGCATCCTGTGCTCTTCTTTCTTCCATCTTCATTATTGTCCTGCCTACCCCCCGAGCGACCCCGCGAGCCGATCTCATCGCTCGTTCGCTCCCGGCCTTAAGTTCTCAACGCTCCTTACTCGATTTCCAACCCTCAGCGTCGCGTGCGACGACTTTCGTTTTGCGACACCTTGCGAGCAAGCCCGCTTGCTGTTGCTCCGCCTTCTTTTCAAACCCAACTCTGTTCGTCTTCGCCTCGCTCGGAACTGCGATCCTCACAGTCTGCCTGCCCGCCCGCACCTCCTCATAGGCTAATCGGCTCCGACTCGCGCGCAGCATAACTCACGATAACATTCGCGCAAACCCTCAAATTCACAGCCTTCGTCGCTCCCGACACTAGCTGTTGCCAATCGAATTTCCTACTTCATTTTCCGCGCAGCGAGTGCGGTCGACGGTCCTACTGAGCACTTGGCTTGCTTGGTGGCACACGACGCCGCAGGATCCGCGAATCGGGTGCCTGTCATCCTTACGCTGGCTCCTCCACGATTGCGATAATCTCAGAATGACCACACTCTTGTCCCAGAGCTCCTCGCCCGCGACATCCCCACCTGCAGCTGCTTCTCCCTCCACCAACCCGAATCACCCCTCACTACCGCCACTAATAACATCACCGCCCAGCCGTCGCTCGACCGCACCGAGACCAATGTCGCACGCTTCCAAAAATCGCCTGTCACAATACTCGACGGGCTCAGTCCCCTCGCGTTCGCGACCGCCTTCTCACATATTTCCAATGTTTCCCTCGAGTCTCTCCTACACCCTGGTGCGCGATTTCGCATATCCAATTATGCATCCCATGCACTATGGTCCCCCGCCAGAGCCGTCGCATCCTGCTTCTGGCCTCAGCACTCCCCTCAGCGAGTCTCGTCGTCTATCCGATCCTCCCGCTGCCTGGGAAACGAAAATGACCTGGAACACTGGCTCCTGGGGCCCAGAGGGCTTCGGCAAGGCCCACGACCTGCCACCCATGGAATTCCGGGATGGCCCACCCTGGAGTGAGGATGAGGATTTGGCGAGCCCTGTCGTCAGCTCCAGGCACCGAAAGCACAAATCTTCCGCCGCAGCCCTTGGCGGCACCGCAGCCGCAGGGTTGAGAAACTCTCGCGACGCGGGCAACGATATGCTGCACCCAGCACACTACGAACAACGGGAACGCGGTTACTACGTCGGAACCAGCGGCGATGGCAGCGAACGATACTACCTCAACCAAGGAGGTGAAGCGAATGGACCCGGCGGAGAATATGTCACCTATCCTCCCGGCGATGCACGGCATTCTAGCCACGCATATCAGCTAGGTGACCTGCCCCCGCGGCAGTACGCCGAGCAGGAGACATACTCGGATGCTTCAAGCTCCGCATCCTCTCCAGGCTTCCGCGGTGATGACCAGTCACGGTATTCTCGAGACTACCAGTTTACCATCACGTCGCCCGACGAAGAAATGCACGGCAAAGCCGTTGCGCTTTTTGACTTTGAAAGAGAGAACGAAAACGAATTGCCATTACTGGAAGGTCAAATCATATGGGTTTCCTATCGCCACGGCCAAGGCTGGCTAGTAGCCGAAGACCCGAAAACTCAGGAAAGCGGACTCGTCCCTGAGGAATACGTTCGTCTGCTGCGAGATATTGAAGGCGGAATGAACAGTCTGACCGGTAATCTTGGCGAGGGCTCTACGTCCCCCAACGATGTCGGAACACCGACGCAAGCAGAGCACCACCCACAAGGTCATACACCGACCGGAAGCCAGTCCTCTTCCAACGGGTACCACCAGCCCGTGGTCTCGACGTTCTCTACGTCCAGCAAGGACTTGGACCCGTACCCTACACAGCAGCTTGGTCTTCAATCCGGCCAGCCTCCTCCGCAAGTGGTGCATTACCACGGCCAAAGAGGTGGCAGCCAGGCCAACACTCCAACTCTAGCTTCGCACCAGGATATCGGCATGATGCGCCGAGGCAGTCAGGACACTGGGGCGAAGAAGACGGATTCCCAAGTGAGCCCCTTGACGGAGGCGATCACAGAGAGCAAGCTAGTCGACCGATCTAGCACACCGAAAGCAACAAACCCCACCGAGAAACCCGCAGACCCCGACGCCATGGACACTGAGCGGTGATGAGAGACGATCAAGAAGCATTCACTTGTGGGTCTGGACTTCTTGCTTGGCAGGTTCTCTTCTCATCTGGGGACCTGTCACGAATCATGTACTATGAGGAACGTTAGGGAGGAGCGTTTCTGGTTTCGGTTTGACGATCAAGAGGCGTACAGTTGTTATTTTTCGGGAGACATAAAGAGAGAAGAGCCCCTGGTCGGTCGCTTTCAGCATGTAGCTTGGATGATGGAAAACTTTATGATCAAGGGCCCCGGTGGATGGACGCATCAATGTTGAAAAACGAGGATGAAGGACGGCATGCTTCGACATCGGATGCCCGGGACTACGTCAGATCCCCTTTAAAGATGGGGTGGAGTTTACCGTATTTTTAAGTCCACGGCGATTGAAGCTGTTGGCTTGTATATAATAATCGGGGTGATGCCCTGTTTTCTCCTCTTGGGGAATGTCAAGAAACGTTTCTTTAACATGATGTTTCTAGCCGATTGCCTTTGTGGATTCATTTGCCTACTGGTCCAAGCCGTGAACCGGATTCACAGCTGGTTCTTGGTCTACCCTTGCGCCCGAATGTGCCTGTCCAATGCTGGCACAGGTAATATGGCGCAAGTCGTAATGAGCCTCTTCGAGCACGTTGTTGGATCTGCTTAGAAATGCACATCGGTTATCCCCATGGGCTTCCCACCGGCACGCCGCTTACTGTGCCCATCCTCTCGGCCAGTTCGGCGGGGATCGGACGTGGGAAACATGGGATCACGTGACATTTTACGTCATGCACAGGTCAATGGTCGCCCGGGGAAAGCTTTCCACTGCGGGCGGATTCGAGCTTCTGTTGCGAGTCTCGGATACCTAAGCTTCTCTCTCCCAGCAGGAAAAAAAAAGCACCCTTTGGTCCATTTCCCAATTACATACCTGTCAATTACCTCTCCTGGCAGCTTGGAAACTTTCAATTGAACCATCATAATGTTTGCTAGAACTGCCTTCAGGGTTGCGCAGCCCCTCAAGCTGGTAAGATAACTATTCGATGACGCTGTTCCCTCTCTCTCTCCATCCCTCGCTCATTGCAAATCCTCGTCTTCCCCCCGCGGGTCGCGGAGCGGTTCCCGAGTTGCGATTCCACCCATTCGACTACATCACACCACCTATGCCACCATCACAACCCCATCTCGGCCCTTCCCAATGAAACAATGATTTCCTTCTCACCCTCTTGAGGCGATAAGCAATGCAAATGCTAACGTTCAAACCCCATAACAGCAAGCCCGCCGCTACGCCACCGAGCCCGCTGCCAAGGGCAGCAGCTCCAACACGGCGCTCTACGCCGGCGGCGCGGCCGCCGTCGCGGGCGGCGCCTACTACTTCCTCGCGGGAGGCTCCTCGGGTGCGGCGCAAAAGGCCGAGGCCAAGGTCAAGGAGGCCGTCGGCGCGGCGCCCAAGAAGGCGCTCACGGGCGGCGACCAGGGCTTCGTGTCCCTGAAGCTCGAGGACACCGAGATCATCAACCACAACACCAAGAAGCTCCGCTTCAAGCTGCCCGAGGACGACATGGTTTCTGGTCTCGACGTCGCGAGCGCCATCTTGACCAAGTACAAGGGTCCCGAGGACGAGAAGGCTACCTTGAGGCCTTATACTCCTACCAGCGATGAGGGTCCGTATTCCCCCCCTGGTTTCTTTCTTATGAGTCCTGACCATGCTGCTCGATACCCGAGACTAACAACACGACAGACGCCAAGGGCTACCTTGAGCTCATCGTCAAGAAGTACCCCAACGGCCCCATGTCGACGCACATGCACGACATGACCCCCGGCCAGCGCCTCGACTTCAAGGGCCCCCTCCCCAAGTACGCCTGGTCCCCCAACAAGCACGAGCACATCGCCCTCGTCGCCGGCGGCACGGGCATCACGCCCATGTACCAGCTCGCGCGCGCCATCTTCAACAACCCCGAGGACAAGACCAAGGTGACGCTCGTCTTCGGCAACGTGACGGAGGAGGACATCCTCCTCAAGAAGGAGCTCGCCGAGCTCGAGAACACGTACCCGCAGCGCTTCCGCGCCTTTTACGTGCTCGACAAGCCGCCCAAGGAGTGGAGCGGCAACAAGGGCTTCATCAGCAAGGAGCTGCTGAAGCAGGTCCTCCCCGAGCCCAAGAGCGAGAACATCAAGGTGTTCGTGTGCGGTCCCCCCGGGCTGATGAATGCTATCTCTGGTAACAAGAAGAGCCCCAAGGACCAGGGCGAGCTTGTCGGTACCCTCAAGGAGCTGGGATACTCTCCTGAGCAGGTCTACAAGTTCTAGAGCGTTTTTTTTTTTTTTGCTTGTTAGATGGAGGGGGCAGTCTAGATGTCGTAAAGAGCGTCGAAGAGGAGAGAACCTTGTTTGTTGTATGAATAGCTGAGGCGATAGACGCATTAGATTCCTCAATGAATGCTGGCGGTTTGCGCACATCACATAATCCAGGTCCGCAGCGAGGTTCTTGGATATGGAAAGTACCTGATGCGGTGAATTACGTGAACAAATTGGTATCTGGTTCGATGAGTACTCGACTGAATACACACATGCCCCTCTCTTCAGTTCCCTTGTACGCAAGGCACCTGCCCTATATATACCCTCTCAGCGCCAATCCCGTCACCAGCTAGCAGGCGCCCGTCTAGGTCGACGGGTCAGGTCAAACTGGCTGGGTGGTGGAGTGGTCTATGGTCAACAATCAATCCAATAACGCCAACCAGCCTTACTCGACGACAGGCTTAGCGAAAAGCAACCGAGTTCGAATCCCAGCATGTGCGCCAAGAGACGTAGCCCCCAGTTCAGCGCCGGGTGGGGTGAACTCTTTTTTACTTTCATCATCATCGAAACCTTTCTAATACTGACTTTGAGTATATTGACTAGCTAGCTAATCACTGGAGGAGACATGGATACTAGAATGAGACGGAGATTACGCAGAGCTCGGAAGAATGTGACTCTTTATCTTTTATCTACTACTCAAGAATACGGTGATGGTTAAGTACAGTATAGAGTGTAGTACATTGCGGCTATTTTGTACCCTATACTTCTGGGTTTCAGAGACTCTTGGTGGCAGAGGCGATGCACTCGTTGATGATGCCGGTCCACTTGAGAGCATTGTTGAAGTCCTTGGCGTCGATGCTCTCCTGGAGACCAGGGAAGACGGCTTGATAACATATGTTAGCATTACAACTCACCAAGAACGGTCTAGGTGACAATATCAAGCGATGGAAACACAGAAAAATGGAACTAACCTCCAGAGTAGCCAGTCCACAAACCGGGCGCAAAGACAACGTGCTTAAACCAGGTCCGACCGTCCAGGCCGCCGGGGTACAAAAAGTTGCGCTCGAAGCCCTTGTAGGACCTGTTGACCCAGACGAAGGCCAGGGCGAGCTTGATCTTGCGGTAGAGGTTCCACCAGGGGATACTGCCGTACCTGAGCTCCCAGTCGACCTCGCCGGCCTTTGTGTCGAGCACCACGGTCTTCTCGCGCAGGGCGGCGATGGAGGTGCGGAGGATCTGGAGCGAGGTGCGGAACTGCGAGAGGGAGCCCTTTGCGTCCGCGTCGGCGACGGCGACGGTGGCGCGCATGCGGAAGAGGGCGTCCTCGTCAGAGTCCGCGTCGTCGACGGTGGCGGTGAGCTTGGACTCGACTTGGTCGACGTAGCCCGTCAGCGCGTCGGCGTAATCGGTGGCGTTGAAGCGGATGACGGGCACGTTGGCGAGCTCTGCGACGACGAGGCCGAGGATCTGGGCCATTGTGCGGTGGTAGACGAAGCCCGGGTCGCCGAATTCCTTCATCCAGTGGAAGGAGTCGTAGTTGGAGTGGTACTGGTACACGACGTCGCCGTTCTCGCCGCCGAAGCCGAAGTCGAGGGAGGGAATGCCGGCGAAGTCCTGGAAGGCGGTGAAGTCGGAGCCGGAGCCCATGGTGCTGATGCGGCCGTCCCAGACGTCGGCGACGGTCTGGCCGGGCACGGTCTGGTTCGGGGAGGGGACGAGCTGGGTGACCTCGCGGAGGACGCGGTGGAGGAGGGGTGCGGCGGAGGGGTTGAAGTTGGGGCCGCGGACGCCGACGTCGACGTTGACGTAGGCGACGGACGCCTCGGTCAGCCAGGGGAGGTACTCCTCCACCCACTCGGTGCTGCCGATCAGAGAGTACTCTTCGCCGTCCCAGCTGGCGAAGACGATGGTGCGGGTGGGCTTCCAGCCGCTGGCGAGGGCGACGCCGACGCCGCGGATGACTTCGTTGAGAACGGCGGAGCCGCTGTTGGGGTCGCCGGCACCGCCTGCGATCCAGGCGTCGCGGTGGTTTCCGACGACGACGACCTCGTTGGGGATGGTACCATTGACGATACCGATGACGTTCCACAATGGGGTGGTGGTGTAGTTTTGCTCGTTGTAGAGGTTCAGGACCACGTTGTCAGGGGTGGGACCAATGTTGTACTCTACGCCCTTGTACTTGAGTCCGAGGTTCCTGTTCCAGTACTTGTTGAAGTCCTTGACAGAGGGACCGTGGCCGTTGAGAGCCTTCAGAATGGGGAGGGCATCAGCGTAAGAGATGGGGATGGAGGGGATAGACGGCGTAGCATCGTCGACGGGAGCACGCGGCGCGCCGGGCTTGGAGGGGTAGCCAGGCGTGGACGGGTCACCGGGGCGCTGGGAAAGGAATTGGGCGCTTCCACGCTGAACGGCGCTCGGGTGACGGGCAGGGCCGTTGGGATACGCCTCGTATCCGTTCTCCTCGGTCACCTTGCCGTCGTCACCGGGGTCGCTGTAGAGAAGAGCACCAATGGCACCCAGCTCCTGGGCGCGCTTGATCTTGAGGCCGCGGAAGATACCGCCGTACTTTGCGATGACGATTTTGCCCTCGAGGCTGACGTTGGCCTTGATGAGGTCTTCGTAGTCCTGGTACGTGCCGTAGTTGACAAAGACGAAGGATCCGGTGACGTTGCCGCTGGCGGAGTAGCCGTGGAAAGTCGGGACTCTGTCCTCCAAGCCGGAAGAGGGGTCTTCTTCAAGGACGTCCTCCTCGAGAGCAGCCTTGAACTCTACCGTCCAGGAAGACTCTTCCTCCTTGGTCTTGGACAGAAGGGAGAGACTATGGTCGATGGGGTAGTTCAGGTAGACGTCGTACGACACGATTTCGGATTGCACACCCCACGACTCCCACTTCTCCTTGGTCCATGCGGCCTGTCACACATTGTCAGATGGTAGTTCCGTAATAACGACTGCAATATGCTTACCTGAGAGTAGTTCTGGCCCGCCAGATGGGGACCGGCAGTGTAATACCTGCTCCATTCTTCGGCCTTTTCGGATGAGGGTACCTCAAAGAGGATCTTTTGCACTTCCTCGTGGGTAATGGGTGCGTTGTTGACGCTGTTCGTCCAGGACCAGCCGTGATGGTGGTGACCGTGGTGACGAGGAGGCTCATCAATGAAGAGCGCAACTACGAAGAAGATGGACCAGAAAATGAGGATGGAAGAGAGTGCAACGGTGCAGAACCGGCGCAGGACGTGGTTCGGGTACCTGCGGCGCGGCGCACCAATGTAGACATTGGTGATAAGCGGCGTCCGCTCATTAGACATTTTGTCGTCGAAAGGCTTTCTGAATCAGGGTCAGCGTGAATGTATCAATAGCATGCTCGCACTACACGTTGAGAGGTCATCGACGGGCGACTCGACGATGAAGTGAGTGATGTGATGTAGCTTAGGCAGGAGGATGAGACGCGGGAGCACGTGTGGCTGACGAAGATGGTTGCATCATCCCGTCGTCGCCAGCCACACTTAGCTCTGGTAAGCTCTCTTCAAGCTCCTAGAGCTGCTCACAAGGACAGAGACACCCAGGCCGCAACAAAATTGAACCGACTTACTCTAGCGCCATCTTTGCAAAACGAAAACCGAAGCCGTCGTCAACAATGGTCTCTGCGCCTTTTTATCAGAGATGTAGTTGAAACAGAGTTGAAGTTGCTATGAGCATTGCGTGCTTCGTCGATGTTATCAGCATCAGTGGTCATTTTGCCGATCGGCTGCCGCCGCCTGGTGAATCCTCCACTGGCACTGGCACCCGCAAACGTGATTGAGCAGCTTCTGCTTGACTCTGGGTCTCCTTCCTGATTCGGGGGTTCAGACGAGGGGGCGGGGAGGAACGAGAGCGGGTCATCGGCGTCCCGGTGCCGACGTTTGGAAAAAGCCCGGAATCAAGATAGCCAGCGATAACAGTTTTTCTCATGGAGCCTAAGGTACCATAAGACTCGGGATGCGGAAGCCTTTCCGGTGCGATTCGACTTCCAAACTTGCATCGACGGCCCTAGCATCCCGCCCCGTGACGCCGCATCGACCGTCGCCGTTAGCTGCGCAGCCCGAAGCTCAGACTGTCAGACATTTGATCAGTCGTCGAGGTCAACATGTTACATCATCTAGGTAAGGTAAGATATCTAAGCTTTGGCTACCGTGAAGGCTAAAGGGCGCCTTTGCCGCCTGTCTTGGAATCGAGTCAAGAGACGCCCTCTTTCCGGTGGCTGCGTGCATCGGCTAACGTCGGTGATCACGCAATTGATTGGGTCAATGTCGTCCAATCAGTCCTTTTCGGGGTACGAATACACTCCCTGGACAACCAACCACAACTCACCGAATCTGCCTTCTCGCAGCGGCAGCGCAAGTACAAAGTATATCAGACATGACTGCCTACCTTTGATTTTCTGCAGCCTCTCTCTCTCGTATGGCGGTGTGTTGTCTCACAGCTTTCAGCACAAATGTCTTGGGATAGCCATGTTTGGACTTATGCTTCAGGTGCTTCGTTGGCGCTGGTAGCAGAGGATCACCCCTGTCCAGTCGGCTCGTGATGATTATTCAGCTATTGTCGCACTTGCCCCGACATTCGGCCCCGGCTTCGGCCAAGTCGGCCTAACGCCGCCGGGAAAAGAGGCCCCCACCGGCAAAGACTGGACGTCATGGCAATTGCGGGGATGGCGACCTCTTGACCTTGCGCTCCAACCCTTTTATCGCCTTTTTTTTTTTCGTTCCATCTTTTGAGGCGTTGTTGGAGCCTTGGAGGAGCACCACCACCACCACCACCACCACCATCAGCTTTTTTTTCGGCTGCACCACCGCACACCACCGGCTACAGCGAGAACCCCTGCCCTTTTTGCCGTGCCCGTGCAAGCCGTTGCATCTTGCACACCCTCACCGACTCCAACTCCCAAGCCTCTGCCGACAACGGACGTCCTTCGCCTGCAGTCTTTCAAGCATTACGCCGGCCCTGCCCCCCCTACGGAGTACGAGGTTCCCTGTTACTACCCAGTACCCGCCCGATCGCCCGCCCGCTGCCGCCGTATCGCCTGGACCGGGCCCAACGTCCTTTCGCTTCAGCAACAGGGAGATGCGATGTAGCCGGCTCGCAGCGAGCGAGCGCATTGCTCCTTGGACCAAGAAGTCCCAAGCCGAGAAAGAGGGAGACACGGGGCACCGCTCAAGCCGAACCAGCGTCCCCTAGGTAATAGCACTTGATCGTTTCCGAGACACTCGACGTCCGCGGTCATCCCATCTTGCTCCATCGCCGCAATGCAACAGAAGATTTCGTTGGCTACTTGATTTTGGCTCGCGTCTCGCGCTCGTCTTCGCTTGCCGTCATCACCGTCACGCACTTATCCCTCATGGCAATGCTGATGCGCACGCAGCCTGCGCTAGGTTATCGCAAGTCGTTCTTCCCATTACCTCTAGCGCTGATTTGCCTTGCCAAGCCAACCTCTACGGCAAGCGGGAATTCCCATCTCTCAAGTTCTCCATCTAATCCCCGGGAGGCATGGCCCATCTACTGCGTAAGGCCCCGTTCCCCAATTCGCGGTGGTTAGCCCCGTGGCCCCTTCAAAAGTGAAGCCCCGTCGACCAGTCATCGACTAGAAATCTTCCGTCAGCAGAAAGAGCGGGGATCGGCGCAGGATCATAGATGGGGAAGGGAAGAGAGGGAAAGAAAAGAGTCTGGTCCCCTTGGACGCCGGCTCATTGCACCCTTCACGCTTCATGGGGGTCCTACTAAGGAACTGCAAGAACTGCAAGAACTGGGGGGGATGACTGCGGTTCCATGAATTTGCATACCCACGCTATTCCCTGTCCGGCGCAGTGCAGCCGCAAGCCTGCAGCTGGAAAGTGGATCAATGCCGTTGGTTTTTTGTTTGCGCTTGACGAACCGTCTTTTTTCTTCGCTTTCCACTGCCACTGCTCTTGTGACTCTTCTTGTCCTCTCCTTCCCCAAATTCTCCAATAAACTTTGCCTTTGGTTTAAAGAAGGCGGTGGCCGCCTCCGGTTCATATTTCCTGCCATTTGCATTTGTCTTTCGACATCTTGTTGCCAAGCCGCATAGCAGAGCGCATCATATTACCCCGCTGCTTTTTTCCCACCTGCCTTAGACTCTTGCTTCACGTCCTAGTCCCGATTCATCTGCTCTAGACCTTCGTAAACTCGACGTCACAGAACTTTGACCACGCATAATCAAATCGTAGAGCTCGGATTCTCTCAGCGCGATTTGGTTGCTCCTTCAACTGCCAAAATGACGAAACCGACAAAGCCAAAGTTGCCCGCGAAGCAGCTGGCCATTCTGGGTAAGGCAACCTCGCATTTCAGAACATGTCAAACGCTTGCTTTTTCTTCCAAACGCGCCTTCAACAGATCCGATAGTACCGGTGACAACCGGAGCCAGGCAAGTGCCGCGAGACCAGTCATGACGGTTTCCGAACAACTTCAGGGTCATGCGATGGGAGAATCGCGATCGTCTTGGTATCGCCTTGGTGGACTACGAGGTTATGGATGGGTGGAAATCTGCGTGTTCTCGCCATGTTACCGCCACTCTGTCTTTAGACACACGTACTCCAAACCTACCTCGAAATGCGACGATAGCATGGTCTTGATCTTCCAAGCTGCCTGATCAATGTGAACCGATGAGGTCGACAGACGTCACCAAGCCGAAAGTGCTCCAGCGTGTAGAAAAGCTGGAATAAAGGATGCAGATTTGACATCAACTCGAATCAGGATACCCTCTAATACTCCATGAGAGGCATCTATCATTTTTCTTCTAGGCTCCGATGCTAACTCGATTACAGCCGTTGCGCGGTTCGCGGAGCCTCTCGCCCTCACATCCGTCTTCCCATACCTCCCCGAGATGATTCGCAGTTTCGGCGTGGAACAGAACGACGTCGCAAAATGGGCCGGTATCACGTCCGCCGTATTCTCCCTCTCGCAGAGTGTAACTGCGGTCCCGTGGGGTAGAGCTTCTGATCGATTTGGAAGAAAGCCAACCATCATCGTCGGCCTGCTATCAACAATGTTCTTCTTCTGTGTTTGTGGTGTTTCAACAAGTCTGCCTATGGCAATCACTGTGAGAGCTATTCTCGGAAGTGGTAACGGAAATGGTGCGTTTCCCCCCTGATCTGCAAAGCTCTCGTCTGATGCTGACAATGGCTTAGTTGGAATTATCCGCACCATGGTTGCAGAGATGGTGCCAGAAAAGGAACTACAACCCCGCGCATTCTCGATTATGCCTCTCATCTGGTCCGTTGGCTCCATCTTCGGCCCAGCGTTTGGCGGATTCTTTGCCAGGCCTGCCGACCGCTTCCCCGCCGTCTTTGGCGATAGCTGGTTCTTCATCGCGTATCCCTTTGCTTTGCCAAACTTCATTGCTGCGGTCTTCTTCTTCATCTCAGTCACAACCGCCACTCTCTTCCTCAAGGAAACGCTCGAGAGCAAGCGACACAAGCCCGACTGGGGACTCCTGATGGGCGAGCGCATCACCCGCTCATTCCGCCGCTCTCGTCATCACCACCATCACCATGCTAGAGCCCGACGCACCTCGTTTGTTGACGGCGAGGCTACCGCGCCCCTGGTGCCTCACAAGACTCCTCCGACACACCCGGTCGAGGACAATAAGGCCCTAGAGGCACCCAGCATGAAGGAAGTCTTCACTGCTCAGACGAGCATCAACTTGCTTTGCTACACCTTCCTCGCCCTCCACTCCGTGGCGTTTGATCAAGTTCTTCCGGTGTTCCTGAACTACCCCCAGCAGGAGCACACTCCGGAGAACACGAGCCTGCCCTTCCGATTTTCTGGTGGCTTTGGTCTCGACTCTGGCCGTATTGGTACCATTTTCACCATCTATGGAATTACTTGCGGCGTGATCCAGTTCTTCGTCTTCCCGCCTCTGTGCAATTACTTTGGTGTCCTGCGCTGTTTCCGCGCATGCGGTATGTGTGCTCTCTTTCCCTATGGATGCATTGGAAACTGACATTCTGTGTAGCCGTGACTTTCCCCATCGTCTACATTCTGGCCCCTTACGTGGTCCTCTTCGAGAGCACTGCTGGGCGCTACACCGCTCTCTTGATCGTCATGTTCGTCAAAGCCTGTGCCGTAATCATTGGCTTCCCGTGCATGACCATCCTCCTGACCAATTCGGCCTCTTCGCTCCGTATCCTGGGTACCCTCAACGGCTTCGCTACTATGTTCAGTGGATTCGGCCGTGCTTTCGGTCCCGCCGTTGCGGGTGCCGCTTTCAGCTGGGGTGTTGCTAGAGGCTATGTCATCACCGCTTACTGGTTCCTCGCGCTCACTGCCATCATTGGAGCCATCCCCATCTACATGCTGGTCGATTACGATGCTCTGACTCAAACTCCCGACACGAGTGATGACGAGGATGAGAGTGTTAGCGATGAGGGCTATGCCAGCGAAGGCAGTGCTGTTGCTTCTGGTAGTGGACAGGCTGCCCCGAATGAGACGGCGCCGTTGTTGAGTGCGAAGAATGGGGCACCGGGATACGATTCCGTCAGTCTCACGCGGTCTTGAGGTGCCTATCTACTATCCCTTGGTGACTGGCATGCTGCTTTCATGCTTTTCGCAAGCGCGCAATTGACGTTTCGAACGAGAATGACACAACAACGAAACGATATATACGAGATTTACGGCCAGCTCTCCTGAGGGGTTTGAAATTGTGACTAGCATCGGTTGGTGCTTTCCTCACCTTTGTGGCATATATAGGTCCATCATTGCCTGGCGTCTAGCATTGCAGGTTCCGTAACGGCTTGTTTTGTTGTCATTGAGGGCATTCATTCTAGTTTGGTTCTGGGCGGTTATCAAAAGCATCATTATTGTTTGGTTTCGTTGTGACACTTGGACACATCCACATGGGCATTGCTCTTTGCGAGTAGAAGTTTCGGACCATTTATAGCAGCTTAATATCACACACATGTCAACAATTGGTCAAGGATGGAATTTGGTGCCGAGGATTGTGAGTGGTGAGCGTTTGCTTACATGCTACAGACAGGTCGGCCGATGCATATTGGAGATGGCCGAGTTTGTCTTTTTGGAATGTGGCCCAAGTACGTTTGGGTATGGTCATACATCAAAGAGTTTCACGTGAGAAGCAGCAAAGGGAAGGAAGAGTCATGATCATTGAAACCAGTTTTGAATTTTCTTTTTCTCCTCGAGAAGATTTTTTTGGTATTCAGTTCGCTGCATCATCCATCTCAAGAGGCGTCTCAGGCCCGACCACCCCTTTTTCACCCAAAGACTCCGAAAACTCCGCTATACTGAAGCACTACCGCCCTGCCCAAAGCCCGTCTTTTGCTTCGCCCTCCCCTTTGGAAAGGGTGAGGGTGTAGAGGCTGATTTTTCTATGTTGTATCCTCCCAAGTCCCATTTTGCCCAACTTTGATTTTCATCAACCCCCTATTTTTTTGGTCCACCCACATTGGTTAAGAAAGAAGAAAATATTCCCAATTGACATCTTTGTTATCCGTTTTCTCATGTCCCGTGGTAGCCTACTGCTAGTACTACTACGAGCTAGCTGAGTCCCTTGCCGTTTTTCAGGCAAAGAGCTTCTTCTCGTAGGACTCCATGTTGACGTTACCCTCCATCTGAGCGCTGGCGGTGCGGAGCTCGAAGCGGAGGGTGCCGTTGTCGACGGACTCGCGGAGCTCCTTGAGGGACTGGATGCCGCAGTCCTGCATGGAGTGCTTGAGGCCGGCGGAGAGGTAGGGGATGAAGCGGCTGATGGGGCCGCGGTGGGCGACAGAGCCGGTGACGCCCTGGGCGACGAGGACGCTGTCGCCCTCGGAGAAGTAGCGGGCGGTGCCGGCGTTGCTCTTCTGGCTGTCCTTGCCGCCGTTGCCGGCCTTCTTGTCCTGCATGGCGTCGATGGAGCCCATGCCGCGGTAGGCCTTGACGAGCTTGCCCTCGCGGGAGACGAAGGAGGTGCCGGGGGACTCGGTGGTTCCGGCGAGGAGACCGCCCATCATGACGGTGGAGGCGCCGAGGGAGAGACCCTTGACGACGTGGCCGACGTTCTGGACGCCGCCGTCGGCGATGCAGGGGACGCCGAAGCGGGCGGAGAAGCTGCTGACGGAGTGGACGGCGGCGGCCTGGGGGCGGCCGACGGCCATGACCTCCTGGGTGATGCAGGCGGAGCCGGAGCCCATGCCGATGCGGAGACCGTCGACGCCGGCCTCGATGAGGGTGGCGGCCTGCTCGCGGGTGACGACGTTTCCGCCGACGACGTCGAGGCCGGGGAACTCCTTCTTGATCCACTGGACCATCTCGACCTGGTACATGGAGTTGCCCTGGGAGGAGTCGAGGATGACGACGTCGAGGCCGGCGTCGACGAGGAGCTTGAGGCGGTGCTTGTCCTCGGGGCGGGTGCCGATGGCGGCGCCGCAGAGGAGCTGCTTGCTGTCGGGGAGCTTGGAGGCCAGGGGGAAGTGCTGGTTCTTGTTGAGGTCGGAGCGGGAGATCATGGAGACGAGGTTGCCGTCCTTGTCGACGATGGGGAGCTTGCCCTTCTTGGACTTTGCGAGGATCTTGTTGGCCTCGGAGAGGTCGGTGCCGTCGGTGGCGGTGATGAGGTCGGTGACCATGACCTTGGAGATGGAGAGGGAGGCGTCGTCCTCGAACTGGATGTCACGGTTCGTGACGATTCCCAGCAGCTTGGAGCCGAGCTTGCCGCTTTCTGCAGACGATTGTTAGCCATGTCTGTCCTGTGGCGTGGCCGTAGCCTGCTGCGGTTTGATAACAATGTGTAAAGGTTTTGCTTTGATCATAGTATAAGGTCTCCTCAGAACGACATGGTCGTCGAATTGGTGGAACGAAAGTTATAATTGAAAAAGGTTTGTAATCATGTAAAGCGAGGGAAAACTGAAGCTTGTGGGAGAACAGGCTTTGGTAGGTAGGTAGGAAAAAAAAGGGGGGGGGAGGGGTTGACAAACCTGTGACGGGGAATCCTCCGAAACCCCACTTCTCCTTCAGGGCCTTTGCCTCACCGACGGTGGTGTCGCGGCTGATGACGACGGGGTCGATGATGAAGCCGTTCTCGTAACGCTTGACCTTGCGGACCATATCGGCCTGCTCCTCGGGGGAGCAGTTGTGGTGGATGACACCGAGACCACCCTGGAGAGCGATGGCGATGGCCATCTCGTGCTCGGTGACGGTGTCCATGGGGGAGGAGACGAAGGGGGTCTTGAGGGTGATTCTCTTGGTGACGGGGGAGTCCAGGACGACGGCAGAGGCGGGGAAGCCAATGTAGCCGGGGAGGAGCAGGAAGTCGTTGTAGGTCAGACCACCGTGCTTCTTGGTGTCCATGAGCTCGTGAATGTCGAGGCCATCGCGGCTCTCGTACTCCTTCAAGACCTGGAGGGCGGTCTTGGAGTCGAGCACCTTGGCGCCGGTGATACCGTTGGTGGAAGGCATCTTTTGTGTGAGAGATGAGTTTTCTCGTTTTTTTCTTGCCGAGTGAACAGAAGAAAGATGGAGGAGAAAACGGAGTCGAAGAACTTGCTAGTAATTCGAAAAGAAGACCAAAGGCAAAGCAAAAAAAGCTTGGTCGATTCGAAAACTAAGGTTGGTTATGTCTCTTCTTCCCGTAAGAAAGAAGGGAAAAAAAATCTTTGAGACGACACCCCGCAGGAAATTTTTTAAAGTGAACGGTGCGCGACCGGCGGAAGGAGGGGCAGGAGGGGCAGGCGGTGAGTGGCTACAGTGCGGCGCAACTCCCTTGAGTGTGTGCCTTTACTGTGTTCAGCAACACCGCAGTATTGTTTTCCCAGTCCATGCAATCTCTTTACCTGAGATGAGTTATTTGATTGATGATGGAGATGGCGTTCTGTTTGGTATTCTATTCGCTTGCGCTATACTTGACCATCTGACATTTTTCTGTTCATGAAGAAGGGGTTTCGGAATTCCAGACGCCCAGAACAAGTATGGAATAGTGCCGCCAAGTCAGGTAGCAGCCGGTAGATCCAACATTGCCTTATGTAAGAAACATTCGGGGTCTCGACTCGCGAGTTATGACGCAACCCCACCGGGCACCTTGGTGGCCGGGGAAAAAAAAAACAGTCGGCATTGGGAACAAGAAAATCTAGCCAAGTGTGCTTGATATTTACAACAATATGAGAGAACGCTTTGGTTGGCACTTATCGACACAGGACCTCATTAGTGTAGATGAAAATTTTCTGTCCAGACGAAACCCAAGGTGCCTTGTCGAGAAGAGTCCTGCAGAGTTTGCTTGTGTCCATAGCCTTTGGTTGGCCAGAGCAATCGACGCAGGACAATCCTTGCTCGGGCTGCGTGAGCTGGACAGACCCCTACGCCAGCAGAAGTGATTGCATGCTTCCGTTCGGGAGCGAAAGGCGGTGGGATGCCGAAGAAGTAAGATGCCATGGCAGCGAAGAGTCGAGTAATGAAGATTGATACTCTTGTTTTTCTTCAGGCCTCGAGTATAACTTTCTAGGATATAGAATGACCTAAAGCGACCTCCACGCTGAGCCTCTTGTACAGTCGAGCCTTGGAGACGCTTCGTAATTATCGAATAAAGCGTGCATCCATCATGATTTGGATCATATCTCACCTGCTACTAAACAAAGCTAACGTGCGCTACCCAAACTCTAGAAACGTCGTTCATCCGTTGTGAGCTGAGATCGAGGGTTCGCAACAGGAACCCTCATGTCAACATGAGAAAAGTGGTGGGCTCTGATTGGCTGTTTTGTGATCCGTAACACCAAAAGCAACAAAGAAAAGAAACAACACCAAACAGCGGACCACATACTAATAGCGAAAGGAACGAACGCACAAAATAAAACAGTTCTCCCCTACGTATCCGTATTATGGATTACTCGGGCTGTCCAAACGACTAGATCGCTCGTATTGGCGGGTCCATTGACTGCTGCACGTAGGCGTTTTACAAACAGTGACATGCATCGAGCTAGAGAATGGGGAGGTGCCACAGATAAAAGACCGAGTTTTGGAGGGGAGGTGTCCATCACGGCGTGTCTGTCCTGCGATCCCTCGATCGTGTTGACATCGTTCTTGCAAAGGTATTCTCCGCTGTTTTCTATCCCACAACCTTGACGTCGTCAATGATGTCTACAATCTTGGTTCATCCAGAGGGTTGAGCAATGTTCCCTGGGCGACAAGGAAATTCAATTAGGTTAGATTGCACGACGTGTCAAAGGTTCTGAACGGGGAATCCGTAGTCAATGGCATCTGTCAAAAGAGGTCAGATGAGAGCGGCGACGGTTTGGCCCGCAGTCAGTGACAGGTTTTTCCAAGGGAAGTGCCTGAACATGTTGACCAGATCGACCTTGCAGCTTTGGGCCTCACCGGACCATTTGTATTGTTGACCAGAAACGTTTTGGGGCAAGTTGGGACAAGTTTGAGAAGCGCCTGGCCCAGAGAAAAGCAGATGACAATCCAATTGACAGAGAGCGGAGGCGGGGCGGAGGGCCGTGCAACGGAAGATTGCTGCATCGGTCTCCACTTTAAAAGGCCGGGCGGGTGCGACGCAGGGGCCAGCAAGAGCCACAAGCCACCCGAATTTCCGTGGCCTCTCGGGTCTCAGTGGCCATTGGCAGCGAGCAGCGAATACCAAAGTGGGTCACCCACACACCTCACTGTGGCACCCTGGTTGCAAGGGGGCTGGTTGCCGCCCTCCAGCTGCCGCAGTAAACAAACAAACTGCCTTATCAGGTCCCGACGCCCTCCCACTCTCACATCCTCCCCCTCCATTGCCCGACCTCCAAACGACCCAACATCCCGCCCACACCTTGTCGATTGACGAGATTGTGACCGTCCTCTTTGAATGCTAGAGGCTGGAATGGCGTCAAGTGGGCAGCACATCTAATATCTTCTGCCGAAATATTCCTTCCCATCATCATTGCCCTTGTCGCCAACGCTGTGTCGCCTTCATTGCCGACATCTTCTTTGTCTGCGCAGTGCGCGCTCTCATTTCTCCAGAGTCCCTCCTCCATTCTTCACCCGCGCTTCGCCGCGCACCATCGCCGGTCGCTTCGAATTTTCACCTTTCTCATCAGCCCCCTGCTTGGTCCCGATCATTCCGCCAAACATTATAGAAACGGAATCTCCAGAGCGCCCAACCCAAGAGACGAGACCGCGAGGTCGAAACTTAATCCAACGCGCGCCGCATACCTTGCCTGCCGACGTCCGACAAAGGCGCCCTAATGTTGTCATCCGAATTCCAGAGTCCACAGATTTTCGATTGCAGCCTTCCTTCAGTATCCTAATCTTCGCCCACCATGTCGCACCGTCCGCACCCCCTCAGACAATCCCATACCCTGGATTACCCTGGCAACATCAACCGTCAGTCCTCTACTGCTTCGTCCATCGCGTCTTCAGGGTACTCTCTGTACTCTGAGAATAGCCGAGCCAGTACTCAACTCTCTTCAGTGTCCAGCGGCTACTCATTACCAAGTTCTCATAAGAGGGGCAAGAGTGATGGTTCGCGATTGCATCAAGTCTCATTCGGAGGAGAGAACTTTGACCGCAAGAGGGAACAAGACAACAACATCTACTCCATGACACGGCAATCTCTACGCCCGCTCCCTCAAGCGCCCGCTTCTTCATCTCCTACCAATCCTACAAAGACAACCACGACGGCATCGACCCCATCGCCGCCTCGACCAAGTTATCGCCATGAACGCACCCAGAGCGTTGACAGCGGCAAGCTGTCACACGCCCAGTACGACGGCAGCACTTCCCCAACACCAATATCTCGAACTCTGACAATTCGCCCGAATTCCATGATGCTCGGCCGATCCGATACAATCAGCCGAGGTAGCGCAGCTTTACCTCATGCATACGAGCCACCTTCCGCAGTGCACTCTGCTTCTCTGGCACGACCAGATCTCGAGAAGCTGGGCCGGTCATCCACGAGCCAGCTACGTACCTTATCAAAGCTTGCTCAATCCGAGTCTGCCGACGAGTTTGCCATCACAACCCCAGCACAAGAAGTTATCGGCCTGAGAGGTCGACGGAGATTGCAGAGGGCAGACAAGCCAAACACAAATCGAGCTGGTCAGCGCGCCGGTGGATATGGCTGGGAAGGGAGGAATTGGATGGACAAGCAGCGCCAGTTCCTTCAAGCATACGAATACCTTTGCCATATCGGTGAAGCCAAAGAATGGATCGAGGACATCATGCACAAGTCGATCCCTCCCATTGTCGAACTAGAGGAGGCTCTCAGAGACGGCGTCACATTAGCAGAAGTTGTCGAAGCTTTGAATCCTGACCGAAGATTCCGCATCTTCCGGCATCAAAAACTTCAGTTCCGGCACTCCGACAACATTGCCATTTTCTTCAGATACTTGGACGAGGTTGAACTCCCCGACCTCTTCCGATTTGAACTCATCGATCTCTACGAGAAGAAAAACATCCCCAAGGTCATTCACTGCATCCACGCTCTCAGTTGGCTGCTTTTCAGAAAAGGAATAGTAGACTTCCGAATCGGTAACCTCGTTGGCCAGCTTGAGTTTGAGCACCATGAGCTCGAGGCCATGCAAAAGGGTCTCGATAAACTGGGGGCCAACATGCCCAGCTTCGGCAATATGGGAGCCGATTTCGGTGTCGAGCCTGCGACCCCTGAGCCTGAAGAGACCGAGGAGGAGAGGATCGACCGCGAGCTTGGTGAGAGTGAAGAGGCCATTGTTGAGCTTCAGGCACAAGTCCGCGGAGCCGTTGTGCGAATGCGCCTGGGAGACACCATGCAGCAACTTTGGGACGTCGAAGGGTCTCTCATCGACCTCCAAGCTCTCATCCGAGGTGATTTCACCCGTCAAGTCATTGGCTACCGGCTTCAGATGCGACGCTTCGCGGTGGACTTACAAAGCCTGGTTCGCGGATTCCTCGTTCGAAACAGGATGGCCAACAAGGAGCGCTTTTGGAAAATGTTGGAGCCCGATATCTTGGAGCTCCAGAGTCTTGTTAGGGCCAAGAAGGTCCGGGATGAGGTACGGGATAAGAAATCTCAGTTGGCCCGCCACGCCGGACCTGTGCGGAAAATTCAGGCAGCATTCCGGGGTTTCTTGGTCCGAAAGGAGTTCGTTACCCAACAGCAAGAGACGGTGCAGACGTCTGGAGAAGTCCAAAACCTCCAAGCGGCTGTTCGTGGAATGTTGTTGAGAGGACGGATTGCAGACGACCTCGAGCTTCTTGACAGACAGACCGACAGCATCGTCAGCCTCCAGGCTGCTGCCAGGGCACTGCTGACTAGAGATCAGATTTCGCGAGAGCAAGAGCATCTGCAAGGCTCTGCACCGAAATGGGCTGCTCTTCAAGCCGCGATCCGAGGCCAAACGCTTCGAAACGATGTTGCAGCAATCAAGGCCGAGCTCGGTCACCACATCCCCGAGGTCGAGAGTCTCCAAGCAGCAATTCGAGGACGGGAAGTCCGCACCGAAGTCGCGGCGACAGTAGAAGAACTCAGCCAGCATATCGCCGAAGTCGAACTCGTCCAAGCAACAGTGCGAGGCAACTCAGCGCGCAAGGAAGTTGAAACGACTAAAGCAGAACTCGCCAAATACGTCTCTGAGGTAGAAAGAGTCCAAGCTCATTTCAGAGCC